TGCAAAACTGGCAGAAGCATTATTGGTGGGAAGTTGGTTCAGCATCTGGATGAGCTGACTAATCTGTTCGGGTTTGATCATGTTCGATGTAGCTTTATTTCCTATGGCAGTAACATTATTGGTTGTGGAATTACCAAATCTGTCTTTTAGATGGCCATGGAGTTTCCAGCACATATCCCGGTTATGATTTCTCCGTTTACAATAGTCATAGTACATTTTCTTACCAGAGCGAAATGATCTTGAGCTGTTGGATCCATTTTGAAAATACCCCAGAGATGGACCATTGACGAGTGGATGGATGGGCTTTGATTTTGGTTGACCAAAAGGGTGGATTTCTGGCCATTGGATGGTTTGACTTAATCCATGAGTGAACCAGCATGTTGCACCTGGTCCAGTGCTTTTGGAGATGAGGCTCTGCCAGAAAAGCCACTTTTTCGTCGAGAAATCCATATTTGTCTTTCATGATTAAAGCCTGACGGAAATCATGAGCCCACATTGTGTAATTTTCTGACCCAGTGAGTGGTTGTTTTACGAGAACCATATCTTGTCTTTCAGCCTGAGAAGAAAAAAGGGCATCACCAGGCTCCGACTAGCGATGATTCGACTGGATGATCTGGAATCGGTAGGGAAACGGGTTTGGGCCAGAACCCGTATATCTGAAAGGAGTTTGGCCTGTTTGATGCTGTGGGTCGTTGTGATGGAATTGATGGGTTTGGGTTTGTGGGCCTGTTGGGTCATTTTGGTTGTTTGGGTCCATTTGTGCGGTTGGGTTGGGTTGAGTGTTGAGTGGGTTGGTTGAATCTAGGCCTGTAGTTGGTGTGATGGGTTCCATTTTTTGGTTTGGCAAAGAAGAAAAACTAAATTGGATTTTTGTTTTACAGGTGAGGCAATGATAGTGGAGGAGATTGGACCAAGGAAAGATTGCTAGACAACCTGTTATGATACCATGATAGAATTTGAGACGGGTCTGACTCCTTACCCAATAAGACCTTGTTGAATGAGATGATTACCCCCTCTTATAACCCAATAAGTTTGACCGTGCCTAGTCGGTGTGGGACTCCAATATATATATGTATATATACATTAGTCCATATATATATATATATATATATATATACTTATATATATATATATATATATATATATATTATATATATATATATATATATATATATATATTGGACTAATTCTTGAAGCTTTTAGTAATGGCTGAACTTTGATTTTTATTAATATTGTTGCCTAATAATTTTTATTATTTAACTATATTATGTTAAATAATCCCATCACAAGGCCATCCAGTGCATATATGTAACACCACTTGAGGTACGTAGTTAAGATTTGATGAATGCTTGAATGTTTGTTGATTTCACATTTGAGGCTGTATGTGTTAATATTGCTTGGTTTATCCTAGTTGAAAGGGTTTTTTGGTTTGGTTGAGTGAATGCCCTGAAAATTTGTAAGACTTGGCGAAATCTGGATGTTACAGTTTCGCCGGGGCGAAGAAGAGAGCTTCGCCGCGCGATGAAGTGCTACATCCCGTGTAGCTGCTGTGAGTTTTCGCCGGGGCAAAGAAATAGCTTCGCCGCAGCGAAGACTGGTGAATTGTTTTCCTTGAGTTTTAGGGAATTTTCCTTTTGGGACTCAATGACCATTCTAACCCTATTAGCGGGAAAATGGGGAGTGAAATGCAAGGAAATTGCATGGAGAATAGGTTGAATGGGTTGTTTTTGCAAAGAATGAAAGGTCATAGGTGGAATTTCGAAGAAGGAGCAAGGGTATATTGGGAAAGAGTGGAGAAATATGAGATATTAAGGGTTTAGCTTTAGAAACCTTTTCATTTGCTCCTTCACCACGCCTCTTTCATCCTTCATTTCTCTCAAATTTTCATTCAAGTTTCCAAGGATCTTTGAAGAGCTTTTGACTAGAAATTGTACAAGTTGATCCTAAGCACTAAAAGGTGAGAATCCTTACTCTAGAGGTATTTATTGTTGAAAGAGTAGGATCCTTATTGAGTGTGTATTGAAGGTTTAAGAGAAAGATCAAGCCATCAAGAGTAGAGAGATTAAGTGGATTCTACTTGTGTCTAAGGTAAGTAAATCCACTAAGTTGTGATTTGCATGATTGAATGATGTGTAGAGCTTATATATGATTAATGTTTGGATTTTATGTTGAAATGAGTTGATGAATGAAGAATGAGTTAATGTTGATTTATGAAGAAATTTCCACCATGAGAAGGGTGGATTTTGTTGATAAATTTGGGGAAGTATGGATAGAATGGAGAGAACTTGAGAGGAATATTGAAGGTGTTTTCTTTGCAGGATGTGTGATAATTTGAAGGAGTTAAACTCCAATTTTGGATGGTTAAGAAAGAAGTATAATTAAAGTTAGAATAAAGTTATGTATGCACAACATTGTTGATGAAATGTCTAAAAGAAGCATGAGTAGAAGTAGAGAACCTTACTTTATGCAACATAACATTTTGCATGTCATGAATGCATATAAGAAAGATTTTAGGCATGAGCCATCCATATGCTATGTTTTAATTGAGTAATCACATGAGAAAGAAATATGAGAAATGAGAAATGAGAAAGAAACACTCTATGAATAGGATAAAGAAAAGAACCAATTCTCTTAGAATAAAGAGAAAGAAAGAACTAGCACTAGAGGATAAAATGATTATAAGTGCTACAGAAAAGAAAAGAAAATAGGGTGTGCGATGGGGAAATCGTGAGTGTAGAGTTACCTCATGTAAACCGCTATGAGAAAGAACGGTCTCTGCCATGAGAGAGCGGAATGCATGTAAACCGCTATGAGAGAGCGGTCTCTGCCATGAGAAAGCGGAATGAGAATGAGAAAAAAGAAAGAATAGAAAGAAAAGAAAGAAAGAATGAGATTTTGAATTAGAAAAAAATGATAAGAGTACGAAAAGAAATTGATGAGTAATGCACGAGGATTATAGAGTAGAAGATTTTACTACTGGGCATCTTTGTGCTCACTCCGTTGTTTTCTTTGTTGTACATGACATAGGTGAGGACCTGGTCGGATGGACGTCGGCAATGGGGGAGACTTGGCTGCACTGTCCACTGTTTTTGTTTTTGAGAGTCTTTTGTACAAATGATGTTGTACTATGTAGAGAATGTAATTATTAGTAAAGAAAATTTTTTGGGCCCAAATGTTTTATAAATATGCTGTCATTTATATATCTTATGAATATGTGTAGTAGAAAGAAGTTGTTACAATTATATATTAATATATATATATATAATATATATTATTTATATATAATATATATATATATATATATATATATCATAATGGTGAGACTAACTAATTTTATTACTATGAGGAGGTTATAACTTAATAGAGGTGTGGTTGCAAAAATTTCTTATTTCATAATTCATGTTTTAATAGTTTAATATTAGGATTTCAATTCATGTTTTAATAGTATTAGAGTTTCAATTCAACGTTTTAATTGCCTACTTTTGAAATAAATAAAAGATCGTGTCTTGGAACCAATAAAGATAATTGTCTTTTGATGGAATTATAAATGCAGTTGCTACATGGTCAATTGATGTGAAGCTACAAACAATTGTCAATTGTTTTAAGCATTACAAAATTAAGACCCCCGATGTTGATGAATTGAAGTGGACGAGGAGAATCAAAGAGTCATTGTAGAATTGAGTGATCAGATTCAACAACTTCACTATATTAATCAAATGGATATGTCTTCCTTAATCATCCAAATGAGCAATAATTCATGTATGCTTTAACAGAAGAATAAATCATTACTACAACTAGACAAGAAGAGAAAAGAAATAATTATGAGGATGATAGTACAAAAATATAAAAAGTTTTGTACCAAGAAGCTCTAAACATACTTGAGAAGCTAAAAATGTTTTGACTTCAACAAGAAAATGTTTATGCTAGCGAATAATGTACCCGCAAGTTAAAAGATGTGTTAACAACTCTAAAGCATAACTGATTGTCCCAAACAATTTTAGATAAATATTTTATTTCATTTTAAACCTTTAATATAATATAGCATATATTTTTTTATAATATACATATAATTATTAATATGTGGAGACAACTTTCTTTAAGACGAGAATTAGAAAAATTATAATTTATTACAATGTGGAGTTTATTCTTATTTATAACTATTTCAAATTGAGAATATAATTTTTTATAACTATGTAGAGTTTATTCTTATATAAAGTATATTGAGTTTATTCTTATATAAAGTATATTATAAAGAGGTTTTCCTATATATATATATATATATATATATTACCAATTTATCCTTTATTCAAATAGATGATGGAAATTACTGATCAAATAGATGAGGTCAAAGATCATTTCCCTTTATTTTATTTGTTATATTTTTATACGAGTGAGGGTTCAAGGCGTTTCTCTCTTTCCCTTTCTCTCCAAGATATGCTAGTAATTATTTTTTCTTTGGGGTGCTATATATTGTGACTTTATGGGTGTTAATTTTTTTTTTTTTTAATGACTGAAAGTATTCGAGCCAGTTTATACGCACCTCAATTAATCCCTCCGAAACAAGACACTAAAACTTTCGACTGAGTCAAAGCTCCTGTGGCTACTCCGATTAGCAACTGAAGAGAAAATCGAACTCATAACCTCTTGAGTAATACACCTAAATGAACTACTTGACCACTCAGAGGTAATTTATAGATATTAATTTATGTGTCTGATATTTTAATTTCAATCTGTAAATTCAAATGTTTTCAATATAAAGTACTTGTGAATTGACTGTATCAATGTTATGCGTCTTCACATTTTAATTTTATTGTATTAATTCATAAAAAACATCGAACAGCTGACAAAAATAACTTGCCCGATATTTTTATATAACAATGGTATAAATTATGGATCAACGGGCTAACATCATAATCTGGAGAAGCAATCAAAATGGCTTCAAATGTTGGGGAAAGACAGTCCCAATTGCGCCGCAGACCCAGAAGTTTTATGTACAGTAATTGATAAAAGCCGGAAGGTAATATGTATATATAAATGTATATATTTGTAAAAACATGTCAAACCCAACATCGTCAAATAAACAAAGCGATTGAAGTCATCATAGAATGTATGAATTATTGAAGAAGAAAACCGAAATCAACTAATTGACATATGAAGAGTCAGGGGTCATATGATTCAGTTGATGAACAAGAGCAAATCACTTCCACTCACTTCCACTTCTTGAACTTGCCTCCCCCGAACATTCCATGCCCACCCTTGAATTTCCCGTGCTTACCATGCTTGAATTTGCCGTGCTTCCCATGCTTGAACTTGCCTCCATGACCCATATGAGCTCCTCCATAGGGCATATGAGCTCCTCCATAGGGCATGTGACCACCACCATGAGGCATATGAGCACCATGTGCCAAGTGAGATGCACCATAAGCAGCTGCAGCCGCTGCAGCCCCGCCAGCTAAGAGTGTCCCCATACCGCCATGTCCTGAAAATATGAAAGAAGTTCAGCAACTGCCATGGAATCACAAGAACACAAAATCGACAATCAAGTTCCTCAAATCTCCGAGGTGAAATGGCAAAAAATAAAAAACTAGTTCCAAATAATGATGTCCCCAATCAGCCAATGACTGCAAAGTCAAGACAAAAAATAAATAAGCTTCCAAACCAGCAGATTGCAATATTGGGATCAATCTATAGAGGAAATTCACAATGTCAACCTGCCTAATTTTAAAGCCAGATTCTTCTTCTTAGTTTCACCAATCAAATGCAAATCAATAATACTTACTTTGCATTGTACTCAGATTATTAAAGATCCCAGTTACAACTTTAAAACAACCATTCAAATTAACTATTTTAATTCAACAACACATTTGTTTTATCCCAAATTCATACCTGAATGATGTGAGGCTGATGGGCCATGAGCAGCCGGAGGGTAGCCAGCAGGGGGATAACCAGCTGGCGGGTAGCCGGCAGGAGGGTAACCTTGCTGTGGAGGATAACCTTGTGGGGGGTAACCTTGCTGTGGTGGATAACCTTGCGGTGGATATGCCCCAGGCTGAGGAGGGTACTGTCCTGGAGGATATCCATGACCTCCATGACCAGCTACATGACCAGCCATACCAGCAAGATTTGAAAATAGCCCCTTATCTGATTCTTCGTTCTTGCCACCTCCCATGTTTTCTCGATCCCAAAATAACTATATCTACAATAACAATTATTCATAAACTAATGAGATTCAAATAAAAGTTATAATCTCAAGTAAACTAATCTCATCAAAACGGTAATAAAACCTTAAAGAACAACACTTAAAAGTCAACAATACGAAACCCCATCAACAACACCCAATATGATAGAAAATTTACATAACAAAACTACATGAGATCACAAAAGAAACCATACCCAGATCGGGTTAATTGACAATTCACAACTGCTAATGATCAACAAATATTTTAAATTAACTTCAAAAATTGACACTAAACAACATCAACATCGAAGATCTGTAAATAAAGAAAAAAAAAATTACCCTTTAATCAATCAAACAAAAAATCATAAAATAAACAGAATGAAAGAGAGATACCGATCCAGGTGACGAGAACAAAACGTTTCAACTTCAATAATAAATTACAACAAACGAAAAACTAAAACCAACAAACGTAAGGCGATAATGACAAAAGCTGACCTTTTAACAACGCGATTTCGAATTCGAAAACTAAAACCAATGGAGAAAGAGTGCCTAAATTGGGGATAATATAACAAGTTTTGAAAGCAACTTCGGAGCAACTTCCGACTTTAAAGATGAGCCGAAAAAGAGTTTCCTTCTACCCAGTTTTTTGCGCGTTTTGCTCGTAAATATCTTTGTATTTATCCAATTCTTTCGAAAACCGCTGATATTATTTAATTTAGATTTTAAAATAATAAAGAGCAGTGATGGAGATGGGATTGCGAGCCACCATCATACGTGTCATTGTTAGAGGCTTAGGCTCGTGTCACAAGGCACCTAGCACGCCCGGGCTAAAGGGTAATATTTCCTACTTTACACCACCTTTTATATTATTTTCATAAGTTATGATGTAATATATATTATATTTACATAAATTTTTAATTATTTTTAATTTTTAATAATATAATAAAATTATTATTAGTAAAATAATCATAATATAATAAAAATGATATAAAGGATAATATAAAGATAGCATTACTCATATTATCCTGAAATAATTGAATTTGAGGCGCATTATAGCAAGCAGTATTATATTATCAATAATCATATCCTCACAAACATCTTCCACTAATACCTCTTACTAATCTGATATGGCAGTTTACAATTGGCTTGATCAAACATGACTCATTAATGGACACACGAAACTCATATAAGTTAACCAATTGCGAGTTGACATGTGGTGTTTGTGAGAGAAGTTAATGAGAAATGTATGTGAGTATAATATTACTCATTATTGATATAAAAAATGGGTTCGCACAGTGGTAAAGACTTAGAGTCAAGGGGTTTGCTCCTCTTATAGTCTTAGAGAACGGTTGTTAATATTGTTGGTCATAGACCGTAGGGTTTGCCTTGTTTCGGAAGCCTTATCGAGGTTGAAAAATTAGTCGAGGTGCACGTAAGTTGGCCCGAATACCCCCGGTAACAAAAAAAAAAAAATTATATTAATGAAAAGATAAATTATCTTCAATATTAATACAAATGTTATATTAAATATGTTTGATTATCAAATAAATTGGTAGATATATTATATTGTTATGTTTGATTAGAATGAATAAATGGGTATAATATATAAATTATTGAATTGACCTTCTTCTTTTTTAAAAATAATAATAATATTATTATTATTATTATTATTTTTTTAACCTCTTATATTTGAGAGTTTGCTAAAACACCCCAACCACAATAAAAGTTTAAAAATTAGCCAAAACACCCTTAGCCACCTAAGACGACTATTGTTTGTCGGCTATGGTTGACAGTCATCGAAAAGGCACATGATCGACCAGATCTGGCTGGCATCAATCTAGTCGTTCCCTATAGATCTGGCAAAAAAGAAACCGCTCTAGCAACGGTCAGCGATGGTGGTTGGCAATCGGTAGTGGTGGCCAGATCTGGCTGTGGTCTTGGGTAATTTGGTTGAAGTACAGGGGTAATAATGTCTTAAAAATCTTGTGTATAAGGCTAAAATTGTCCTTGAAAATTCTTATAAATTGTTTAGATAACAAGGGCGTTACTGTCCTAAGATTATATTTATAAAGGATAAAATTGTAACAAATGTGAGATTACCAAGTCATCTCAGAATACCTAAGAAAATGATGGTATTCAGATTACCATCTATATAACCAACAATGATTACTATTGATATTAAAGAACTACTGGAATCTTATATTACAATCAAATATGATAATGTCAGTAATGTAAGATGTCATTACTAGAGTAAGGAGGGATAACGCCCAACCAAACAGTGCCTAAAAGCTATATGTGTTAACCCAAGCACGACAAGAGCATATTTACTTAAGCTATAAGTTCCAAGTGATTCATTTTTTTGGTTTTCATTAAAGCCAAACCATAGTTGACTAAAGTATATTTCTTTAAAGAGTAAACAACATATTCCTAGAGGTTTAGCGAAATCTTAAGTTGATACCCCTGGTTTTATTTATTTTGGATACTCACCTTTAAAGTAACATAGTTATTGACTATTGGGTTGTGATATATGTTATTACTAAACTGCCTTTCACCCCTAAAGGTGGAAAAGTTACCCGCCCGGCTCGCGGTGGGTTACGAAGTTTGGCGGGCCGGGCCTAACCCGCCCGCCAACAACCTGGCCTGCCATTTTGGAGAAAATGGCTAGCCTAGCCTGGCCCGCCAACCCTAACCCGCCGGGTTAGGCGGCGGTCCGGGTCGGGTTAGCCCGATTTTTTTTTTTTTTGTTTTTTAATTTAACTTTTCAAATAAATAATTATAAATATAATTGTTTTCAGTTAACTTTTCAAATATCAATAATTCAATTCAATTCATTTTTTTTTTTTTTGGTTAACATTTCAAATATTAATTCAATTTTAATACAATAAAATTGTAATATAAAAAAAATTAGACTTATTCATTTATCAAAAAATAAAATAAGAAATTATAACAATTATTGTCTCGTTAAAAACCTCACCAAGAAAAACCCAATGGGAGAACACTTGTACAGAACAAAAATGCAATAATTGACAATTAATTTACAAATTACATTTTACAAAACACTAATTTGGGGTGGTTCCTAGGACCTCCCTCATCTGTATCATCTATATTACAAAATTGAAACGATTCTACTAAAGTTTGTCGTAACCTCGTATTGATTTTGATGGCGCTCGTTCCCATCTCGAAGACATGTGAGGACTTCAATCATTTTTGGAGCAAGTTTACCTCCTTTCATTTAAAATCCTTCCACTTGCACTAATGTTTTGTTCGGATAGATGGTTGAGACGGAACAGCGAAACACCAAGCAAGTCTTGATAATACCGGAAAAATACATTTTCTGGCTCTCCAATACTCTAAGACATCAAGTGACCTGCTGGAAACTTTCGGGGTTGCCAAATTTTTGAAGTTCATTACTCTGCGACCCCATGGAGGACAGTATATTAGTTGTTTGTTGTTGTTGGTGGTGGTGCTTCTGAAGAGGAGGTTGTGCTTCGGATTCGGGTCCTCTTCGGCCTATTCAGTGCATTCCAAGAGTATAAGTTTTCATTTGTTTGTTTCTTCTGATACAACTTCTCTGGATATTTCGCCTCTTTGCGACTGCGGGTTCACATACCTGTTTTCATATTGGAAATATACTTCGAAAAGACTATTTTTTACCTCTCCTATTTGATTGACATATGATTCGGTTTGTAAATTTTCACTTAAATTGTCAAAACCATTTCTAAATGTGCTAATTTAATTCTGGATCAAATATAGCACCTAAACATAAAGAAAGGAATGGGTTCCCAATATTTCAAAAAAAAAATTTCCATTGCCTTTATTGGTGCATGTAAAACTTCATTATCTTTGTTTTTTTAAATAACTCGGAAATTTTTATAATTGTATGTATTACCAATGGACTAGTAGGATAATACACACCAAAAAGTTGTAAAGTGAACTGGTAAAAACGTTTGGAAAAAGAATGAAATACTTTGCTATCTTCCAATCATTTCTACCAAATAAGGACCTCTATTATTTGCTACAAAATAACTATTAGTATTAGCATAAGGTAACATGAATCAAGCATTAAATAAGTACTATTCCATCTAACAGGCATATCTAATGTAAAAGTTCTAGGAGACATATTTGATTTTATACAAGCTTCTTGAAATTCAACATTTCTTTTATTACTACCATAATCCAAGCTAAAGATTCCCTAATTCTATCAATATTTTGTTGAATTGTTTTTATACCACTTTTTACAATTAAATTAATAACATGACATGCACAACGTTGGTGAAAAACTTCAAATTGTTATAAAAAGATAATTAATTTGAAAAAAATCTATAGCTTTATTATTAACTTGCTATCTAAAGTTAAACTTATCACTTTATCAATAAACTAATCTATCTCAAACTCAATAATTTTATTATAGATTTCTAAACACTATGATCCACTCCATTAATCTAAATTCTAATAAGATTTATTTAATTAAAGTCATTATCAAAAAATGACTAGTCCACACAAATATATCTTGTTTAGCTCTACCATTCTAAATATCGGCAGTTAGAGACACACTAATATGACAAGTATGAAATTTATTTTTTAATTCTAATTTCATTTTTCGAAACAATTTTATTAAATTATTTCTAGTTGCAGTTTTAGAATAACTTTTAATCCTGGAAAAAATGAATTTTGAACAAATCTTTCAAAATATTTATCTTCTGTCATATTATAGGTTGATCAGCTGCAGCAATAATATAAGCTAACTGTTCCCTATATACATCAGAATTATAACGCAAGTAGTACCCATATTAGTTTTTGAGTTTGATTGCTTTTTCTATTTCCATGTTGATAATATGTTTATTAGCATGCCTTTTTAAAGTTAGTACCATTACCTGAATCCTTTATAACATTTCCACAATTTTGCATCTTGCTTTCTTGACTGAACGCCATTTTTTGTCTCGTAAAACTTGTCGAAATGCGCCCAAACGTCTGATGTGGCCTGTCTTCGGTTTCGACGGTAGTTGATGAACCCTCTCCTTGAGATGAGTTGGACGAGGAAGACGATTATGAATGACTTCTAGAACCACCGGGAGCTGTTGGAATCGACAGCATATTTTGAGTTGTATGGATTCTGAGATTGGGATTGGGACAACAGACTATTTGAATCTCCTGCATTCATAGTAAAATCAGCGGGACTAGACTAGGATAATAGTTTTCTTCTCATTGAAATTGATGGGAGAGAAATATCTATCCATTGTAGTTGAAAAAAAAATTGATGTAGAAGAATAAAAATTAAAGAAGAGAATTGGAATTGGAAATTGGAATTTGGAAAATTGGAAATATGAATTGAAAATTGCAAAAACTATAAAAATTAAAATAAGAGCAAATTATAACAAAAAGATTAAGAGAATAAATGAATAATTGAGAGAATAGAGATTAGGAATATGAGAAATGAGAGAATTTGAGTTGTGAGAAAAATATGAGAGTTTAGGGCCAATTTATAGAAAAAAATGGGGAAAGAAAATGATGAAAAAACCCCTCCAACAGCTTAAAACGGCTATATCTCAAGGGTACGTAAAAGGGTAATTAAAAAAAATAAATTAATTTACATTTTTTTAATTTATTTTTCGGCCAACCCATGGTCAACCCAGCGGGTTGGCCGTTGGCAACACCAACCCGGCCGGCCAACCCGCATGCAACCCACCGGGTTGGCAGTCCTCCTCAGAGAGGACAAAATAGCAACCCCCGGGCGGGTTCAACCCACCCGCCTTAACCCTCTTCATTGTGGGCCGCGTTAGGGTTGACCCACCTAACCCGGCCCATTTGTTCCACCTCTATTCACCCCATTCCAAGCCACCACCACAGCCCATTCTAAACCACTCTATCCCAAACCACCACCACCCATCCAAACCACCACTACAGCTGGCCAAACCACCCAATTCCAATCCCACAGCATGGCCAAACGACCTCATTCCAAACCACCACTACGCGGCCAAACCACCCAATTCCAAATCCCACAACTGACCAAACCAGCCATTCCAAACCACCACTATGCTGGCAAACCACCCAAATCCAATCCCACTCACGGCCAAACCACCCATTCCAAATCCCACCCCACTAAAATCACACCATTTTAATAAAAAACAAACTAAAAACAAATACAAAATAAACCCTAGGGAGAAGGGCTTCAATTGCATTGAAAGGTGAGAAATCGGGATGGAAATCATGGGGTTATTGGAGAGGGCTCTTTGATGAGTCAAATGTTGGGCTTGATGAAGATTTTCGGTGATGTTTGGCCAAAAAGAAGCTGCGGAGTGCGACACTTGAGCGAAGGATGACGAAGAAAAAGGGAGTCAAGATGGTTGGGGGGGGGGGGGGGGGGGGGGCACGGTGGGTTGTGCGTTGGGATGGTGAGGTGCTGGGAAGTCTAAAAATGGGGTAGGGGCAATTTTTGTCTCTGAAAAGTGCTAGAAAACGATCAAGGATGACTGGTGAACGACGAGCTAGTGTGGCTAGGGGGTGATGGCATTTTGATAAGGGTGGGGGGATGAAGCTGACGGTAGTGGAGGGAAAAAGAAGAAGATGGGAGGAAGAGGCAGAGATAAGGAAGAAATAGGAAGGGGAGAAGAAGAAGAAGATGGGAGGAGGAGGCGGAGATAAGGAAAAATTGGGAAGGGAAGAGAAAGAAAAAAAATGACTATTTTAGCCCTTAATTGTTAAAATAAAGATGGGTATTTGAAATAAATAAAATCATGGGTATTAACTTGAGATTTCCTAAATATCAGTAGGAATATGTCGCTTACTCTTTTTAAATTATAAGTTTCAGGTCGATGGATTGATATGATTTGTCTCTTGATTTAATGTGACTGTTTTTTTATTTTCATTAAAGCCAAAACCATAGTTGACTAAAGTATATTTCTTTAAATTATAAGTTTTAGGCTCATGGACTGATACGATTTGTCTCTTGATTGATACGAAGATGTTGGTTCACAACTATCTTTCACTAGTATTTGTTTACAAATAGCATTATTCTCTAAGTCGGTTTAATGATCCCAGTTATCGGTATTATATATAAAGTCATGTGGGAGGCCAAGTAAAGGGAGGGTTATTAACAAGATGTACCAATATCTTGTTAAAAATTAGATTAGAAGGTCAAGTTACATTCAATGCTAGACTTTAAGGTTGATGATTTAAGAAATTAAGATTCAATTTTGTTTCTGATTAGGTGGTAAATTGTGGGATGTTAACAAAATTAACCTGTTTTTAACCTACTTTTATTTATTATTTATCTATAGTAATTATAGATATATTATACGTTACACGCAATTGTATTACTATTACATATGATAGAACCACATATATATCTAATATTTTCTTTACTAGATTTTACCTTAAAAAAAGTTTATCCTAAAATAGAATTTGAAAGCTCCTTCAACTATTGGGGTTAGTTAACCCAAGAGCCTTGTGTCGAATCGTGGGGAGATAATTATTGAGTTTACCAAAAATAAATAAATTTGATTTTAGCTCATTAATAATGATATGCTTATGAATTATTTTTAGATGGTTTAATAGTTTGATAGAAACTCTTGAATATATAATTTAAGAGATATTAAATTTAAGTTTTTTATCGATTATTAATAAGAGTAACAATTGAAATTCTTATTATAATTTTAGAACCCTAAAAAATTAATTAAAATATGCATTAAAGTTACCTAAACTCGCCGGTCATAACAAATAATAATATGTTTATGATATTAGAAAGGTGATATATATTTTCTCATTCCATTTTTTACGAAACTGTTTCCATAAAATAAACACCATCATAAATGTTGTGGGGGGCGACCGATTTGGTTTCAGTATCTGTAATTACAGGAAACTATGGTCATTGATCTCAGTCCGGGCAGACAGAAAAGCTGACACTGTTTAATAAATTATAAGTACGACAATTTTTGTCCACGTGTTCTCCTTTTGTTTTATTAAGTTGGGAGCTTAATGACGCATCTTCTACTATTTTTAGCAACAAACCACATTAATCCCCTGAATTCTAATTTCTTAATTCTTAACTGAAAACGACGACGTTTGACCTCTCTGCCCCACCAGATCTCTCTCCCCATTGGCGTCATTTCTTTCAACGAATCTCCATTTTCTTCTACGGTTCTACCCCAAACAACAAAATCCAAAACAACCTCATCTTCTTCATGTAAAAGAACCCAAAACTCATTTCCCAATTCTCATTTTTCACAAAACAATACCGTAAAGGAAAAGCGTTTTGCTTCACAAAAATGGCGACACGGCTCGGGTCATTGAAGGGGAAGCTGCTCTCGGTTAAGGACTACTCAGAGCTGGGCTTAAGCATCGTTGAGTCCAACGAAGAAGACCCACAGCGTTGTTGTTGCTCGTACGGGGTCATTTGCGATAAAATCACGAGCCGTAGAAAGAGATTGCTCGATGTATTTGGTGGGGCTGTGCGTATGGGCAAGTCTGATCCAAGAAAGATTGTGTTCGCAGCGAAGATGGGTCTGGCTTTGATGCTTATTTCACTTTTGATTTTCTTGAAAGAACCTGTCAAAGAGCTCAGTCGTTACTCTGTTTGGGCTATTCTTACTGTTGTGGTTGTGTTTGAGTTCAGTATAGGTATTGATTTTTCTTTTCTTCTTTTCGTTTCGGGATTGATTTTATTTTGTGATTTTGTTTTGTGGTTATCGTTACTTACGCATATAAAGTTATTTTTTAGGCTTTTCTCTTGTAATTTGTGCATGTCGATTGTCTTTAATCAATCATTTACGTGTATAAATACATGATTAACTTCCAACTATGTGGTTATGGTGTTTATTTAGCTGCTTATATAGTTTTGTGCAATAAGCTTATGTATGTTCTGAGCAAAACTGAGAACTTTAAGGAAAGCATGAGTGATACTGTCTTTGTATTTGATATGGTTATATTATTTTTGCTGATGTTTATTATGTTTCTTGTTGATTTAGTGATTTTAGGAGGTTTTAATTTCTTTAATTATAGAGTTTCAGCTGTAGTGAAGCTGGCTGAGTCATGGTGCTATGCATACAAGATTCATTTTGTGCATTGGATTGGATAGAATTGTACTGTATCACTTGACGGAACTTAGAAGTTGGAGGTTTATCACCGGGATCGATTGAAGTTGAATAATATGATAAATGAAATTTCCACAGCACCAAATTTATTGATTTTTATGTCCGTTCAACCTTTTTATGATTTTTGTATTTGGCCACTAGTTATCTGTGAAAAACTTGCTAAAGAGACAAACAGTTTTTAGGTTGTAATATTTATATTAATCCTTGATAATAACTGCACAATAGAATTGTAGCTTAGCATATTTCTCTTGTTGTAGCCCTTTATCATGTATGATTAATGTATATATATATATATATATTTATAATTTTTACATAAAATATTATCTCTCCTTTATCCAAAGTTGACATCCTATGGCTACCTAATTCCCAACAAGAGTAAAAAATTGTGTTTTATTTTTTCATCGTATATAACCGTGTTTTTGTGCAGGAGCAACACTTAGCAAAGGATTTAACCGTGGGTTGGGGACATTGTCAGCTGGAGGGCTCGCTCTTGCTATGGCAGAGCTGTCAGAGTTAGCTGGAGAGTGGGAAGAAGTTTTAATTGTTATTAGTATCTTCATCATAGGTCTGTTCTTGCATCTGTGCTATGTTATCAGAATGTCTGTGAATTTTGTCTCCAAACCATCTGTTGTCACTTTTGCTCTTCCTGATTTGTTATGTGACTAATTTGCAGGATTTTTGGCTAGTTATGCAAAGCTATACCCTACAATGAAGCCTTATGAATATGGGTTTCGGGTGTTCTTGTTGACGTATTGTTTCATAATGGTATCTGGGTATAGGACAAGGGAATTTATTCACACAGCTGTAACACGGTTCTTGCTCATTGCGTTGGGTGCTGGTGTTTGTTTGGTAGTAAATATATGCATTTATCCCATCTGGGCTGGTGAAGATCTGCACAACTTGGTGGTGAAAAATTTCAGGAATGTGGCAACTTCTTTGGAAGGTATCAGTCTGTTCATTTATTTCTCACTGAATTCATTAAATTGCTTCTCATAACTTTTTTCCCTTCCGAGCTTCCCCCTTTTTATTTATGACTAATGCCCTTGAGCTTCTACTTAGGTTGTATTAACAGGTACCTCAGTTGTATTGAATATGAGAGGGTCCCTTCAAAAATACTTACATACCAAGCTGCCGATGACCCAGTTTACAGTGGCTACAGATCAGCTGTAGAATCAACAAGCCAAGAGGATGCTCTGGTATTCTTATTTCCAATTTTCAATTTATTTCATGAATGGGAATGTTATAATTGTTTTCTCAACTCTTTTTTACATTCCTTCTTCTAATGTATAGGTGGGATTTGCTGTTTGGGAGCCACCTCATGGTCCTTACAAGTCGTTTAAATATCCATGGAAGAATTATGTCAAAGTCAGTGGTGCACTAAGGCATTGTGCATTCATGGTTATGGCGAAGCACCTACCCAGTTTTCGTAACTATCAGGTGGAGACCACATAGCACCTACTCGTTCCTCATTACTTTCGGGTAAAGATCACCCAGCATTACCCATTCCTAATCACTGTCGGGTGATGATCACAAAGCATCAACCCACTTCTAATAAATGTGGGGTGGGATAAAGCATCCACCTTTTTTTTATAAATAACGGGTGATGATCACAAGCATCCACCCGTTTCTACTAAATATCGGGTGATGATCCACAAGCATCAACCAATTTCAATGGCTATTCGGGTGTCACAAAGCATCAACCCGATTCTCATAACTTTGGGTGATGATCACAAAGCATCCACCCTTTTTAATACTCTTCTCATTCACTCTATTCTAGCACTTCTCATTCTTTCTACCCTTAGAGTAGTTGCATCCACAAAGTTCTCTACTCATAGAGCAAGTGCATACACAAAGTTTCCTACTCTTTCTTAGGTCACTTTTCAATGCACATTAATGCCTATGGATGGTTCATCTCCACTAATGCACTTATGAAATGCCAACATGCAATGTTGCAAGAATTAAGGTTATACTCATACTCAAAACTCTATTAGGCATTTCATAAAAACAAGTGCATCATAAAACTCTACTATAACAATAATTCTAAATCTTTCTCTAACCATCCAAAATGGGGAGAAAACCCCCTCACATAGCACAATTCCTGCCAAAGAAAGACACTTCCAAAAGGATTTTCAATATCCTTTAAGTCAATCTCAAACTACCTTTCCAACCCACATGCCACTTCTTATATTTGCAATGTATAAACAACCACAAAGCACTAGAAATCTCTATTTAAGCCTCAATAACATGGCATTAAAATGTATATAACATCATACCTAAGTGGTATCAAAACCCTAATCAAGAAAATTCCAAATCTCAACTTGGGTTAGGGTTTACTTACCTTGTTATGGAGAGACTTCACAACTTTCCTTTCACTTGGTTTGCTTGACTTTCTCTACTCTTAAACAAAAGAACAAAAACCCTCAAAACTCAAATATAAACAAAAACTCACAGACTTCACAACCAAGGCAAGAATCCTTACCTTAGGATGCCTTAGGTTGATTTTCTACCCCAAATCACTCCAAAAGCCCTTTAAAACTCCTTGATCAAAAGAAAGAGAAATTGAGAGGAAGCAAGAGAGGAGAGTGGCGTTGGAGAAGAAGAATGAAGGGTTTGCAATGTTTTAATTCCTTTTAATGAAATTTATACACAAGCATTCCCATTTTGCCTTACTCTTCTTTGGGAATTCTATCTATATCCATTGATTCATTACAAACCACACCATATCAACATATTCTCCATGAAAATTCCTTACATTTTACTCCCCACTTTTCCTGCTAATTAGGGCAGAATGGTCAAATTGCCTTAGCAAGAAAAATCTAAAACTAACAAACATTTTGGTGGCCTGTCACGCGGCGAGGAAACTTCTGTCGCTGTGGCGAAACTGTCCAGCACGCTCCCCGTGGCTTCAACACCTCTTCGCCGTGGCGAAGATTCTTCTTCGCCCCGGCGAAGCTTGAACACTGAACTTCTTCTATTTTCAACAAATTTCAGGGCAAGTCTTCAACATACACTCAATCAAGGTCAACCAAACCATATTACTAAGAAACCCCAAAATAAGAGTAAAGAAGAAGAAACAATAACTACGTACCTCAAGTGGGGCGTACAACACCAAGAGCTTGTGTCAAATCGTGGGGGTGATAATTATTGAGTTTACCAAAAATAAATAAAATTGATTTTAGCTCTTTAATAATGATATGCTTGAATTATTTTGACTAGCGATTGGTTTTATCGAGACTTTTAAATGTATTATTCAAGAGATCTTGAATTCAAGTTCTTTCTTGCTTAATAAGAGTAACTATTAGAGTTTTTATTCAATCTATAATTCAGAACCTAAAAAATTAGTTAAGATATACTAGACTTACTTAGACATGCCGGTTATAACAAATAATAATGGGTGCATTTGGTTTATTATTTTGGATAAGATTTTAGGGATAGTATTGGATAATTAATATGGGAGTATAGAGGTACAATTTAAAAATTTATAAAAAAACCCCCTAAGTTTGCTAATTTAATAAATACCCCAACATGTAAAATGATAAAAATACCCCCACCACCTGTAGTGCCAGATTTGGCCACCACTATCGGAATCTGGCTAAAAATCGTGTTACGACACAGACCGTGGATCTATGTCGTAACGCGTCATTATGGCCTTCTGACCAAATCCACCAGGATCTGGCCGAAAAAGGCCAGATCTACGGCTGCAGTGGCTGTCGATGACCAAAAAAAGCCAACACGACGGCCATTTTGGTCGTCAAAGACGGACAAGATATGGCCGTCGTTTTCGGTCAACAACGGCCAGATATGACATTTTTCGATCACCCCTGGGGATTGACTGGAAAAGGTCAGCAGTGAATTACTATCCAGTTTCGGCAGTAATTCACCATGTAGCATTCTGGCTACTATCGATGGTGGTTGTCAGAATCTGACAAGTATGGGTCACAGTGGTGCTTTTATTAATTTTTAAATTTTTTAGGAGGTATTTAATGAAATAATAACCTTTTGAGGTCTAAAAGTAATTAAAAAAATATAGTTATATTTCGGAATATATGTTAATATTATTTAGAGAATAGGATTAAGATGGATAATAATAATAAGCCAAACATGCTTAATATTGTATGGTATGAGAAAGATGATATATATTTTCTCATTCCATGTTTGACGAAACTGTTTCCACAAAATAAACACCATCATAAATGTTGTGAGGGCGAGCGATTTGGTTTCAGTATCTTTTAAGGAATGAGGAAACTATGGTCAATATAAGTATTTGTCCACGTGTTCTCCTTTGTCGTATTAAGTTGGAGTTAATGACTCATCTCTCTACTTTTTTAGCAACTAATATGAGAGAATGAGAGAATTTGAGTTGTGAGAAAAATATGAGAGTTTAGGGCCAATTTATAGAAAAAAATGGGGAAAGAAAATGATGAAAAAGACCCCTCCAACAGCTATAAAACGGCTATATCTCAAGGGTACGTAAAAGGGTAATTTAAAAAAATAAATTAATTTTACATTTTTTTAATTTATTTTTCGGCCAACCCATGGGTCAACCCAGCGGGTTGGCCGTTGGCAACAGCCAACCCGGCCGGCCAACCCGCATGCAACCCACCGGGTTGGCAGTCCTCCTGCAGAGAGGACAAAATAGCAACCCCCGGGCGGGTTCAACCCGACCCGCCTTAACCCTCTTCATTGTGGGCCGCGTTAGGGTTGACCCACCTAACCCGGCCCATTTGTTCCACCTCTATTCACCCCATTCCAAGCCACCACCACAGCCCATTCTAAACCACTCTATCCCAAACCACCACCACAGCCATCCAAACCACCACTACAGCTGGCCAAACCACCCAATTCCAAATCCCACAGCAGGCCAAACGACCTCATTCCAAACCACCACTATCGTCGGCCAAACCACCCAATTCCAAATCCCACAACTGACCAAACCAGCCATTCCAAACCACCACTATAGCTGGCCAAACCACCCAAATCCAAATCCCACATCCGGCCAAACCACCTCATTCCAAATCCAACAACCACCATCTAAAATCACACCATTTTAATAAAAAAACAAAAACTAAAAACAAAATACAAAATAAAAACCCTAGGGAGAAGGGGCTTCAATTGGCATTGAAAGGTGAGAAATCAGGGATGGAAATCATGGGGTTATTGGAGAGGGCTCTTTGATGAGTCAAATGTTGGGCTTGATGAAGATTTTCGGTGATGGGGTTGGCCAGAAAAAAGCTAGCGGAGTGCGACACTTGAGGCGAAGGATGACGAAGAAAAAGGGAGTCAAGATGGTTGGGGGGGGGGGGGGGGGGGGGGGGGGGGGGGGGGGGGGGGGGGGGGGGGCACGGTGGGTTGTGCGTTGGGATGGTGAGGTGCTGGGAAGTCTAAAAATGGGGTAGGGGCAATTTTTGTCTCTGAAAAGTGCTAGAAAACGATCAAGGACGACCGGTGAACGACGAGCTAGTGTGGCTAGGGGGTGATGGCATTTTGATAAGGGTGGGGGGATGAAGCTGACGGTAGTGGAGGGAAAAAGAAGAAGATGGGAGGAAGAGGCAGAGATAAGGAAGAAATAGGAAGGGGAGAAGAAGAAGAAGATGGGAGGAGGAGGCGGAGATAAGGAAAAATTGGGAAGGGAAGAGAAAGAAAAAAAATGACTATTTTAGCCCTTAATTGTTAAAATAAAGATGGGTATTTGAAATAAATAAAATCATGGGTATTAACTTGAGATTTCCTAAATATCAGTAGGAATATGTTGCTTACTCTTCTTCAAATTATAAGTTTTAGGTCCATGGATTGATATGATTTGTCTCTTGATTTAATGTGACTGTTTTTTTATTTTCATTAAAGCCAAAACCATAGTTGACTAAAGTATATTTCTTTAAATTATAAGTTTTAGGCTCATGGACTGATACGATTTGTCTCTTGATTGATACGAAGATGTTGGTTCACAACTATCTTTCACTAGTATTTGTTTACAAATAGCATTATTCTCTAAGTCGGTTTAATGATCCCAGTTATCGGTATTATATATAAAGTCATGTGGGAGGCCAAGTAAAGGGAGGGTTATTAACAAGATTTACCAATATCATGTTAAAAATTAGATTAGAAGGTCGAGTTACATTCAATGATAGACTTTAAGGTTGATGATTTAATAAATTAAGATTCAATTTTGTTTCTGATTAGGTGGTAAATTGTAGGATGTTAACAAAATTAACCTGTTTTTCACCTAATTTTATTTATTATTTATCTATAGTAATTGTAGATATATTATACATTACACGCAATTGTATTACTATTACATATGATAGAACCACATATATATCTAATATTTTTCTTACTAGATTTTACCTTAAAAAAAGTTTATCCTAAAATAGAATTTGAAAGCTCCTTTAATTATTGGGGTTAGTAAACCTGTAACAATTGCTGTAAACTAATACAAGGCATGCATAATAACAATAGAAAATTGGACCCAAAAACTTTCTTTTCATTATAAGTCATATGTCTTTTATACACAAAGAGTATTGTTTACAAAAAGTCATTTTAAAAGACAAAACATGGGAAACAGTGTAGCTATTGCTCCTCGCTTGCCGACGCCCTCCGACTGCATCATCACCTAGATCCTGCATCCACAAAGGAAAATAATGGGGTGAGCACAAAATAATGCTCAGTAAGTAAAACCCTCTATCTATCTATCCCCGTATGTATTACTCTTAATTCTTTCCTCACACTTTCTGTTGTTTCCTATTAAACGTCATGGCCTCATCTTACCGGAGGTACGGCCAGATGGCGTTCACACAGCACCATCTCACTCTTCATGACAATCGGGTGGGATTCACACAGCACCAACCCGTTCTTAGTGACTACCGAGTGGGGATCACGAAGCACCTACCCAGTTTTCGTAACTATCAGGTGGAGACCACATAGCACCTACTCGTTCCTCATTACTTTCGGGTAACGATCACCAAGCATTACCCATTCCTAATCACTGTCGGGTGATGATCACAAAGCATCAACCCACTTCTAATAAATGTCGGGTGATGATTATAAAGCATCCACCCTTTTTTTCATAACTAACCGGGTGATGATCACAAAGCATCCACCCGTTTCTACTAACTATCGGGTGATGATCACAAAGCATCAACCAATTTCTAATGGCTATTCGGGTGATCACAAAGCATCAACCCGATTCTCATAACTTTCGGGTGATGATCACAAAGCATCCACCCTTTTTTAATACTCTTCTCATTCACTCTATTCTAGCACTTCTCATTCTTTCTACCCTTAGAGTAGTTGCATCCACAAAGTTCTCTACTCATAGAGCAAGTGCATACACAAAGTTTCCTACTCTTTCTTAGGTCACTTTTCAATGCACAATTAATGCCTATGGATGGTTCATCTCCACTAATGCACTTATGAAATGCCAACATGCAATGTTGCAAGAATTAAGGTTCACTACTCATACTCAAACCTCTATTAGGCATTTCATCAAACAACTCAAGTGCATCATAAAACTCTACTATAACAATAATTCTAAATCTTTCTCTAACCATCCAAAATGGGGAGAAACCCCCTCACATAGCCACATAACCTGCCAAAGAAAGACACTTCCAAAAAGGATATCTCAATATCCTTTAATTCAATCTCAAACTACCTTTCCAACCCACATGTCACTTCTTATATTTGCAATGTATAAACAACCACAAAGCACTAGAAATCTCTATTTAAGCCTCAATAACATGGCATATAACATGTATATAACATACATACATAAGTGTTATCAAAACCCTAATCAAGAAAATTCCCAAATCTCAACTTGGGTTGGGGTTTACTTACCTTGTTATGGAGAGATTTCACTAACTCTTCCTTTCACTTGGTTTGCTTGACTTTTTCTCTACTCTTAAACCAAAGAACAAAAACCCTCAATACTCAATATATACAAAAACTCGCAAAGCTTCACAACCAAAGCAAGAATCCTTACCTTAGGATGCCTTAGGTTGATTTTCTACCCCAAATCACTCCAAAAGCCCTTTAAAACTCCTTGATCAAAAGAAAGAGAATTTGAGAGGAAGCAAGAGAGGAGAGTGGCGTTGGAGAAGAAGAATGAAGGGTTTGCAATGTTTTAATTCCTTTTAATGAAATTTATACACAAGCATTCCCATTTTGCCCTTACTCTTCTTTGGGAATTCTATCTATATCCATTGATTCATTACAAACACACCCCCATATCAACATATTCTCCATGAAAATTCCTTACATTTTACTCCCCACTTTTCCTGCTAATTAGGGGCAGAATGGTCAAATTGCCCTTAGCAAAGAAAATATCTAAAACTTAACAAACATTTTGGTCGGCCTGTCACCGCGGCGAGGAAACTTCTGTCGCTGTGGCGAAACTGTCCAGCAGCTTCCCCGTGGCTTCAACACCTCTTCGCCGTGGCGAAGATTCTTCTTCGCCCCGGCGAAGCTTGGAACACTGAACTTCTTCTATTTTCAACAAATTTCAGGGCAAGTCTTCAACATACACTCAATCAAAGGTCAACCAAACCATATTACTAAGAAACCAACTCAAATAAGAGTAAAAGAAGAAACAATAACTACGTACCTCAAGTGGGGCGTTACAAAACCCAAGAGCCTTGTGTCAAATCGTGGGGGTGATAATTATTGAGTTTACCAAAAATAAATAAAATTGATTTTAGCTCTTTAATAATGATATGCTTATGAATTATTTTTGACTAGTCGATTGGTTTTATCGAGACTTTTAAATGTATTATTCAAGAGATCTTGAATTCAAGTTCTTTCTTGATTGCTAATAAGAGTAACTATTAGAGTTTTTATTCAATCTATAATTTCAGAATCCTAAAAAATTAGTTAAGATATACATAGACTTACTTAGACATGCCGGTTATAACAAATAATAATGGGTGCATTTGGTTTATTATTTTGGATAAGATTTTAGGGATAGTATTGGATAATTAAATATGGGAGTATTATGAGGTACAATTTAAAAATTTATAAAAAAACCCCCTAAGTTTGCTAATTTAATAAATACCCCAACATGTAAAATGATAAAAATACCCCCACCACCTGTAGTGCCAGATTCTGGCCACCACTATCGGAATCTGGCTAAAAATCGTGTTACGACACAGACCGATCGGATCTATGTCGTAACGCGTCATTATGGCCTTTTCTGACCAAATCCACCACGGATCTGGCCGAAAAAGGCCAGATCTACGGCCTGCAGTGGCTGTCGATGACCAAAAAAAGCCAACACGACGGCCATTTTTGGTCGTCAATGACGGCCAAAGATATGGCCGTCGTTTTCGGTCAACAACGGCCAGATATGACATTTTTCGATCAGATCCACTGTGGATTTGACTGGAAAAGGTCAGATCAGTGAATTACTATCCAGTTTCGTCAGTAATTCACCATTGTAGCATATTCTGGCTACTATCGATGGTGGTTGTCAGAATCTGACAAGTATGGGTCACAGTGGTGCTTTTATTAATTTTTAAATTTTTTAGGAGGTATTTAATGAAATTAATAACCTTTTGAGGTCTAAAAGTAATTAAAAAAATATAGTAATATTTCTGGAATAATATGTTAAATATTATTTAGAGAATAGGATTAAGAATATGGATAATAATAATAAGCCAAACATGCTTAATATTTGTATGGTATGAGAAAGATGATATATATTTTCTCATTCCATGTTTGACGAAACTGTTTCCACAAAATAAACACCATCATAAATGTTGTGAGGGGCGAGCGATTTGGTTTCAGTATCTTTTACAGGAATGAGGAAACTATGGTCAATTATAAGTATTTGTCCACGTGTTCTCCTTTTGTCGTATTAAGTTGGCAGCTTAATGACTCATCTCCTACTATTTTTAGCAACTAACCACATTAATCCCCTGAATTCTAATTTCTTAATTCTTAACTGAAAACGACGACGTTTGACCTCTTTGCCCCACCAGATCTCTCTCCCCGTAGGTGTCATTTCTCTCAACGAATCTCCATTTTCTTCTACGGTTCTACCCCAACAGCAAATCCAAAACCACCTCATCTTCTTCATGTAAAAGGACCCAAAACTCATTTCCCAATTCTCATTTTTCACAAAACAATACCGTAAAGGAAAAGCTTTTTGCTTCACAAAAATGGCGACACGGCTCGGGTCATTGAAGGAGAAGCTGCTCTCGGTTAAGGACTACTCAGAGCTGGGCTTAAGCATCGTTGAGTCCAACGAAGAAGACCCACAGCGTTGTTGTTGCTCGTACGGGGTCATTTGCGATAAAATCACGAGCTGTAGAAAGAGATTGCTCGATGTATTTGGTGAGGCTGTGCGTATGGGCAAGTCTGATCCAAGAAAGATTGTGTTCGCAGCGAAGATGGGTCTGGCTTTGATGCTTATTTCACTTTTGATTTTCTTGAAAGAACCTGTCAAAGAGCTCAGTCGTTACTCTGTTTGGGCTATTCTTACTGTTGTGGTTGTGTTTGAGTTCAGTATAGGTATTGATTTTTCTTTTCTTCTTTTCGTTTCGGGATTGATTTTATTTTGTGATTTTGTTTTGTGGTTATCGTTACTTACGCATATAAAGTTATTTTTTAGGCTTTTCTCTTGTAATTTGTGCATGTCGATTGTCTTTAATCAAGCATTTACGTGTATAAATACATGATTAACTTCCAACTATGTGGTTATGGTGTTTATTTAGCTGCTTATATAGTTTTGTGCAATAAGCTTATTTATGTTCTGAGCAAAACTGAGAACTTTAAGGAAAGCATGAGTGATACTGTCTTTGTATTTGATATGGTTATATTATTTTTGCTGATGTTTATTATGTTTCTTGTTGATTTAGTGATTTTAGGAGGTTTTAATTTCTTTAATTATAGAGTTTCAGCTGTAGTGAAGCTGGCTGAGTCATGGTGCTATGCATACAAGATTCATTTTGTGCATTGGATTGGATAGAATTGTACTGTATCACTTGACGGAACTTAGAAGTTGGAGGTTTATCACCGGGATCGATTGAAGTTGAATAATATGATAAATGAAATTTCCACAGCACCAAATTTATTGATTTTTATGTCCGTTCAACCTTTTTATGATTTTTGTATTTGGCCACTAGTTATCTGTGAAAAACTTGCTAAAGAGACAAACAGTTTTTAGGTTGTAATATTTATATTAATCCTTGATAATAACTGCACAATAGAATTGTAGCTTAGCATATTTCTCTTGTTGTAGCCCTTTATCATGTATGATTAATGTATATATATATATATATATTTATAATTTTTACATAAAATATTATCTCTCCTTTATCCAAAGTTGACATCCTATGGCTACCTAATTCCCAACAAGAGTAAAAAATTGTGTTTTATTTTTTCATCGTATATAACCGTGTTTTTGTGCAGGAGCAACACTTAGCAAAGGATTTAACCGTGGGTTGGGGACATTGTCAGCTGGAGGGCTCGCTCTTGCTATGGCAGAGCTGTCAGAGTTAGCTGGAGAGTGGGAAGAAGTTTTAATTGTTATTAGTATCTTCATCATAGGTCTGTTCTTGCATCTGTGCTATGTTATCAGAATGTCTGTGAATTTTGTCTCCAAACCATCTGTTGTCACTTTTGCTCTTCCTGATTTGTTATGTGACTAATTTGCAGGATTTTTGGCTAGTTATGCAAAGCTATACCCTACAATGAAGCCTTATGAATATGGGTTTCGGGTGTTCTTGTTGACGTATTGTTTCATAATGGTATCTGGGTATAGGACAAGGGAATTTATTCACACAGCTGTAACACGGTTCTTGCTCATTGCGTTGGGTGCTGGTGTTTGTTTGGTAGTAAATATATGCATTTATCCCATCTGGGCTGGTGAAGATCTGCACAACTTGGTGGTGAAAAATTTCAGGAATGTGGCAACTTCTTTGGAAGGTATCAGTCTGTTCATTTATTTCTCACTGAATTCATTAAATTGCTTCTCATAACTTTTTTCCCTTCCGAGCTTCCCCCTTTTTATTTATGACTAATGCCCTTGAGCTTCTACTTAGGTTGTATTAACAGGTACCTCAGTTGTATTGAATATGAGAGGGTCCCTTCAAAAATACTTACATACCAAGCTGCCGATGACCCAGTTTACAGTGGCTACAGATCAGCTGTAGAATCAACAAGCCAAGAGGATGCTCTGGTATTCTTATTTCCAATTTGCAATTTATTTCATGAATGGGAATGGTATAATTGTTTTCTCAACTCTTTTTTACATTCCTTCTTCTAATGTATAGGTGGGATTTGCTGTTTGGGAGCCACCTCATGGTCCTTACAAGTCGTTTAAATATCCATGGAAGAATTATGTCAAAGTCAGTGGTGCACTAAGGCATTGTGCATTCATGGTTATGGCGTTGCATGGATGCATACTTTCAGAAATACAGGTAATGACATTGCTGAAGTTTCAAAGTTTGACTTGTGCACAAGATTGATTCAAATACAATAGCTGTGTTTATCTTGTTGAATTAGTGTGCAAAAATTAAATGCTCAGGTAGTCATATTCTTTGACTAAGGAATGTTAAAAAGGTCTCTTTTCTCAAGATTGGCTCCTTAGAAAGTGGTTTCCGCATCATATAGCGCTGAGGTTTTTTAACCACACAACCTTGGCTCAAACAACTGGCTTAGGAGGTGATTCATCCTTGAATTATGACCCTGGGCAAGGCTACTGCCTACTGTAGTCTAAACTATCACTGCCCCATGTTTAGATCTATGTAGAGTGCATCACATTTTATATGCAATGAGATCTTATTCCTTCCCTCTCTCAAAGAAGCAAAGAGAGTCACTACTATTATCGTCTGTTGCAACATCAAATTAATCACTGAACACATATCTTTAATTATCTTTTTCCTTCTATCTTGATAAAATTTCTTGAAGTTAACTGATAGGAATTGACTCCCAAATTGATAGAAATTGGGCTGGGCAGTGGTCTTTTTGTGGGCTTGGGTAGAACTCTCCTTGGAAAACCAGCTTGCCAAGGGAGGGTGCCCAAACCCTTATAAACCACATGCCCACCCTTTATCCCTCTCAATGTGGGATCCCAACATTCCCAAACGCTTTGAGACCCAACTCCCTTGTTGGTCTTCTTTCCAGAGAGTACTTGCTCTTGTCGGCCACCCCGCCCTCATCGGCCTTTACTGCCCTACCTTCGGGTCTTACTTCGCCTAGAAGCTTTTCAGGCCCTAGAAGCCTATTAGCAACTCTCCTTCTCGGCCCCTCGGGGGGCCTACTGGGCCTTGCTGCATAGGCTCAAAAGGTGGGGCCTGCTCTAATACAATTTAATAGGAACCCACTCCCAAATTGATAGAAATTGAGTTGGGTAGTGGGCCTTTGATAGAATTGGGCTGGGCTGGGCTGGGCAGTGGTCTTTTTGTAGGCTTGGGTTGAACTTTTCTTAGAAAACCGGTTTGCCAAGGGAGGGTGTCCCAGCCCTTATGAGCCACATGCCTACCCTTTTTTCCTCTCAATGTGGGATCCCAACATTACAAATTCACACTGCTACCCTCGCATCTTTTGTTGTCTGGACAGTACACTCTGCATGGGGTACATTGCAATATCACATATGAACCATGGTTTCATGTGCTGGTAGAGAAAGTAGTTACTGTTTTTCAGTCATTTGGATCCATGACAAGCACTGTTGTGTATAATTGTGTTGTTGTCTTACTTCATGCCTGTAGACCTATTTTGTAAGGTTACTATAAAGCGGTAGCCTCACTTTTCTCTGGCTGGAGTTATCTGTATATCTATTGAACTTTACTATATTTGTATGTATAGGCTCCAGAGGACCGGAGACAGGTCTTTTGTCATGAACTGCAGAGGGTGGGTATTGAAGGTGCTAAAGTGTTACGTGAACTTGGGAATAAAGTTAAAAAGATGGAGAAATTAGGTCCAGTTGACATACTCTGTGAAGTGCACGAGGCTGCAGAAGAATTGCAAAACAAAGTTGACCGAAAATCTTACCTTCTTGTCAATGCAGAGAGCTGGGAAATTGGAACCCGGGAGAAGGCTCAGGGAGAACCCCAGGAATTACTGAACTTGGATGATGAAGAAAACAAAGTGCTAGAATATAAATCCCGTAGTGAAGCTGTACTTGATCTCAGATCAATTACCATACCTAAGAATTGGGAATTCCGTAGCCCAAACATAGATGTGAAGTCCAAATTGATACCTGAAGTTCCCCCTGAAATGCAGAAACAGATATCATGGCCAGCACGTATCTCATTTGATGCTGATGCAATGCCACAATTGGAAAAATCAAAAACATATGAAAGTGCAAGCGCATTGTCTCTAGCGACTTTTACTTCACTTTTGATTGAATTTGTTGCCAGGCTGCAAAATGTTGTTGACACGTTTGAAGAGTTAAGTGAGAAAGCAGACTTTAAGGAACCCATCGATCAATCAGCAGAGGCAGCACAGCCAACTGGGTTCTGGACCAGTTTGCGGAGATGGGTGAAGTTCTAGAATAAAAATAGAAGGATCTTCTTGTTTAGAATCATGAGACATGAAACTCATCAAATCTTATATGGATCTGAGAGCAGCCATTTGGTGGAATCACAGCCAGCTTATGACATCAGTTTCACGAATTTTTAATGTACATTGGTCTCAGTTTCTGAAATCAGAAGACAATGGAAGTTGATTTCGGAACAGCAAAGTTTCTTACACAAGAAATAGTGTACAAACTACTTTTTCAGTCGTAGTTTATCTAGGATAGACTGGTAGATGCAATATCTGGATGACAAATATGGNAGGATCTTCTTGTTTAGAATCATGAGACATGAAACTCATCAAATCTTATATGGATCTGAGAGCAGCCATTTGGTGGAATCACAGCCAGCTTATGACATCAGTTTCAAGAATTTTTAATGTACATTGGTCTCGGTTTCTGAAATCAGAAGACAATGGAAGTTGATTTCGGAACAGCAAAGTTTCTTACACAAGAAATAGTGTACAAACTACTTTTTCAGTCGTAGTTTATCTAGGATAGACTGGTAGATGCAATATCTGGATGACAAATATGGACTAACCAACTGGGAAGTGGAACCTGCAAGCAGAGAGGAAACTTCTGATGAATAAATTTTTTCTCTTGGGATGGCAAGAGAAACCCGGTTACCTCAAATTTGTATGAAAACATTGTAGAATATATGAAAATAGAAACTTTTCGTGGCGCAGAGAAATTTATTTTCCTCTGGTCTACAATCTGTCATGCCATTTTTCTGTCATTCTTTGCTCCTTGGTTTCTCAATTCCTGTTGATTCCTTTTGCTGCCTGCCTGGAATAACATATAGTTCAAAATTTGGCTTGAGCCTGACAAATTGAATAATTGATGGTTTAAATGGATTTGGTTTTAGCTACCAAATGCAAATGCTCTGAAAATCCGTCTTAACATTTTCATTTCAAAGTATTTTGCCCACTTCAAGACCGCTGCTGCTCTTCATTTTTTTTTTTTTTTTTTTTTTTTTTTTAATTAGTTCATATGATTTATCACGAGTTCACATTTTTTATCACAGGGGATTACCAGCAATGTAACAATATATTTTCATGCGGCAAACACTTTTTAGAAAAAGGGTTTATTTCATACACCCTTGTGAGATTGTCTAATATGGAAAAATCCTTTTAGAAAATTAATAAATTTCTCTAAGTAATTTAACCATTTAATGTTTGTTTAATTTGTTAATATTTTTAGGAATTAAAATACTGTTCATAAATAAGATTATGATTCAACATATTTTATATCTGAAATTATGCTTATAATATTTAAAAATTTTAGCATTGAAAATTATAAATAAGAGAAAAAAAAATATTTTTATTTCCTGATTAAGTGATTTTATTCTATTTTTAAATTTAATTTCAAATATAAAAATTTGAAAGTCGGTGATTGGAGACTTCTTGAATTGTGATCACAGACTATAAGCATTGATATTTTGAGTAACTTTTCATTATTTTAATACCAAAAATTAAACCACCGGACCGGGCCAACATTTCAAATTCCCATTATATTGTAACAATAATTTAGTCAAAAAAACAACCCCGATATTGAAGTAAATTACGGTCCAAAACAAAAAGAAACAAAAATAAATCAAATCAAATCTATTGGCTTTAGATCTCTCTCTACATTTTCACCAGATCAAGCACTTTGGTCGCTCAAGCCAAGCCTCTGTAGGTACTACTGTTTTTTTTGTTTTTGTTTTCTGGCAACATGTTTTTTGATTTTGGTGAAGCTTCTTACTGTCGCTTAACTCGTTGAATTTCTTCGATCCGACTTTTTGTTTGTAATTATTGCTTTTGGAAACCTATGAACTCGTGGAATAACTCGTAGTTGTTTAAGATCTTATCAAGTTTTTTGTTTCTTGACTCTTTTTTTTTTTTAATTTAATTAAAATAATTCTTTTTATAGCATTTAGTGAGGTGTGTATGGAATTTTGTTGAATTTATGAAATTATGAGAATTAATTAGAGATTTTATTTTTTGCTCTGTACTGTTGTATGGTCAAGAACTGATAATATTTGGATTGTTTAAAATTAAAATATGAAACTTAAATTCAATTTCGCTTTAGTTATCTTAGCGTTAGACTTGGTCAAGTTGGTTTTTTTTTTTTTTCATTTATTGACAAATTTTGTTCTTAAAGAGTGTAACAGTTGTGGTTTTTAAATATTCAGCTATGAAGAGTGGTGTTTTTAATACGTGGGTTTGTTTTTGTGGAGGTAAATTGTGCAAAAATTTGATTATGTTTTTTTCTGTAGGTGTGAGATCTTGCGAGCCAAGATGGCTATGATCGATGAGCCACTTTACCCAATCGCAGTTCTAATTGATGAGCTGAAAAATGATGATATTCAGCTTCGTTTGAACTCAATCCGGCGGCTATCAACTATAGCTCGTGCTCTTGGAGAGGAGAGGACTCGGAAGGAGTTGATACCGTTTTTGAGTGAGAATAATGATGACGACGACGAAGTACTTCTTGCAATGGCGGAAGAATTGGGGGTTTTCATTCCTTATGTTGGTGGTTTGGAGCATGCAAATGTGTTGCTTCCTCCACTGGAGACCTTGTGCACTGTTGAGGAAACTTGTGTGAGGGACAAGTCAGTGGAGTCACTGTGTAGGATTGGTTCGCAGATGAGGGAACAAGACGTGGTTGAGTGTTTTATTCCATTAGTCAAGGTCAGTTAATGCCACTGCACCAATTAATATTTAGGGATTCATGTAACAATGAATTCATCTAGGTGAATTTTCAATTGCCTAGGTTCTAACTAGGCATCATTTGGTTATTAGTTCTATTACTATCCTAGTCTGAGTAATTGGCCTTTGCAAGGTGATATTTCAGTGTTGCTATCGTCTAATATAATTATTTATTTACTATTTTATTTTTCAGTCATATTTCCTTTCGGTCTCAATTAATATTTTTTTTAAAATGATATACTTTGACCTTACTACAGTTGTAATAACTCTGTTTTTTCACATATTTTTGTATATGGACATCTAGAGGCTGGCTGGTGGCGAGTGGTTTTCAGCTCGAGTCTCATCATGTGGTTTGTTTCATATTGCATACCCAAGTGCTCCAGAAGCGTTAAAAACTGAACTTCGAACAATATACAGGCAACTGTGTCAAGATGACATGCCCATGGTTAGGAGATCTGCTGCAACAAACCTTGGAAAATTTGCTGCAACGGTTGAATCTGCCCACTTGAAGTCCGAAATCATGTCTATATTTGAGGAGTTGACACAGGATGGTATGTAGATTCAGAAGTATATTTGTTCAGTTCGTTTTTCGTAATTTAGTTATATGCTAGTAATTATTCTTGTTGAAAGATATTTTTCAAATGATTAACCCATGTATTCTTTTTTTGTGCTTAATTTTATGCTTATAGCTAATAGTTAATCTAACATTTACTGTAATGATAAGATAGATTGACAAATGCTGGAAAATTTTGGTACACTTTCTAATGCAGCTGCTCTCATTTATCCGTCTTAAAAAAACTAAAAAAAATTTAGGGTTATCTGTCTTAAGAAAAATAAAAAAAATTTAAAGCTAAAATAAAGCAGTTCCTTTCCCAATTTTGTGTATGTTGAATCAAATCTACAGACATCACTCTAGTTTTTTTATAAAGCACAAATATGGCTTAGTAAGGTACTCTATAAGGTTTTGGCTTCAAATTGTTTCGTGCAAATATATTTGAAGTCTTAAAAGTTTCTACATTTCATGGGAAATCTAGAATTTATCTGTCAACCCTTACTTTTTAAGTTGTGGTTACTATGAATTTTTCTCAAATTTATTTTTATTTCAGATCAAGATTCTGTTCGGTTGTTGGCTGTTGAGGGTTGTGGAGCTCTAGGAAAGTTGTTGGAATCCCAAGATTGTGTGGCTCATATTCTACCTGTTATAGTTAATTTCTCTCAGGTAAAGCAGATTTTGTTATTGATAAGATATTAATTTACTCAGAAGCTTTCTTGCAACTTCTTGAATTTCGGTTACTGTTATTTTGGGAGATATAATTTTTCTTTTCCAGTCCAAATAAATGAAGTGCAAATCAAAATGGTGTTCTATTTATTTATTTTGTTTTTTCATGTCTTATCCGTTGATGATTGATTGCAATATAGTATTCATATGCGTCATGCATGACGGAATTTTTCATTAACCAGGATAAGTCTTGGCGTGTTCGTTACATGGTTGCAAATCAATTATATGAGTTATGTGAAGCTGTTGGTCCTGAGCCTACCAGGTAATCAATTTTATGTGCTGATTTAGCCAATTATGTTCCTGTGAAAATTGCAATCCATAGCCAGATTTTTTCTTTAATTTTTTATTTTTAACCTGATTTTCTCTTATGTACTTGCTAATACCTTCTCACTTTGAAAATCTTATATGAATGTTGAGGTTGTGATACTTGCCCTTTTGTGTTTTGATCATTTAAAGTCTTTTTTCTTTCTGCTGTCTATTTTGTATGCTATTTTTTTCTTATTGAATTTATTGATCTGTTATTGGTTCACTTGAAGTGTAATTTATACTTATATTGATGTTGGACATTTCTTTAGGTTGGACGTGGTTCCTGCATATGTTCGGCTACTTCGTGATAATGAAGCTGAAGTACGTATTGCTGCTGCAGGAAAAGTAACGAAAATTTGCCGGATTTTGAATCCAGAACTTGCAATCCAGCATATTCTTCCTTGTGTAAAGGTATTTATGTTCTCGATATAACTAGTTTATTTAGTGCCAATTCCTTTTCATATTATTACATTTCTGTTTTGATAATGTTTAGTTCTTGGGCGTCTATGTGATAGTAGCATAATAAGCAAATACACTTCCCTACTGTAGGAATTGTCAACAGATTCATCTCAGCATGTTCGTTCTGCTTTAGCTACAGTTATAATGGGAATGGCTCCAGCTTTAGGAAAGGTAAGAAATTTGTATTTGTAATCTTACTCTGTGACTGAAACTATGATTCGTCCATTCATTCATATGAATATCATGTATTTCTTGGTGAATGACGATTGTTGGTTCTCATGTTGATCATAGAGGGCAATGTTCCCTACATTTTTGTTTCTTCGTTATTGAATGTGCATTTAAATACATTGTTATTATTGATTCCTTTGAATGCTTGTTTCTCTCTGGCCGTTTAGTTTACTTTCTTTTTATGGTTGCAGGATGCAACAATAGAGCAACTGCTGCCTATTTTCCTTTCTCTTCTAAAGGATGAATTTCCTGATGTCCGACTTAATATTATTAGCAAGCTTGATCAAGTGAACCAGGTTTGTCAAAAGTTCAGAATTTGAGTGCCACATATGCATTTTATGAAACTTGTTATCATGTATGTATATCTTTTGTTTTTAGGTCATGGGTAATTGATTGAATGGGTAAAGTATGTTTGTTGTCCAACAAATTTATGATCAAATGGTTCTGGATATGTGGCTTGGGTTCCTGACATGTTTATATCCTAATGTGACATACACTGGTCCCTTTAAATCATGAACCTGCTGTCTTTTTTCCCCTTTCATTCTCTTTCATAACTGGAATTTGATATGTCATTATATTTCACTCCTTGCATCTTAAAATTGATACTTCAATGCAATTTTTACCTAAAGTGTCCTTATTCTTATTCAAACCTTACGTCCCTTTCTCTCCCGCTGGTTTGATAAACTGGTGTTTTGTATGTATCTGGCTCTGCATGATGGATGATTTTTATTTGAATGAATTATTGTAACATTATCTGTTTGTGCAGGTGATTGGAATTGATCTGCTATCCCAATCTCTGTTGCCAGCAATTGTTGAACTTGCAGAGGATAGACACTGGAGGGTTCGACTTGCAATAATTGAATACATACCATTATTGGCAAGTCAATTGGGTGTCGGGTTCTTTGATGATAAGCTTGGTGCTCTTTGCATGCAATGGTTAAAAGATAAGGTATGTGAAGCTGTCGGGTGGTGTGAATTTGCGTAAAAGTGTCTGATTTATCTATTTCTCTCTTCTCTCGAGTTTTTATGAGATTGAAAATTATGTTGCAGTTGTTCACCTATAACGTAAAGGTTTGTCAATATGTGCTGCTGTAGAATTTCAGCTTTTTTCCCTTTTCCTAAACTGTTGTCTTGGTCAGATCAGACACTAGTGATTTTGTATCCAGTCAAAATCTTGACTAATTGATCAAATTGGTGGCTCCAGTAGCCTTATTTCTTGGAACAATAAGAGTAGTGTTCTGTTCTTTAGGAATCAAGGGTGACGAGACAGCAGAAGATGTAAATTGCTGCAGAGCATGCATGAAAAGGACAAACAACAATGGAGGAAGGATTGGGGCTCATTCAGATGGAATGAAATAATATTGAGATAGAAATTGTGGGAAATCAAAAACGCAAAGACACTTAGAAACTTCTCTTTGACTAACAGTTACATTTATTTGCTGGAATGGCTCTGACTGTTTGCTTGTGGCTGGAGCTTAAAAGCATGCTATATGTAAATTATCTGTGTTTATACTTTTAAATGTTGCCGTGGATCTACATTTTATGGGGGTTAAGGCTATTAGAAACTTGATGTGGTTGGATTTTTATATGCTGGTTTGAAACACATTTGACACTAGCTATCAAAAACACATCTGACACCAACTTATGTATAATTTTTTTTTTTTTATTTTTTGGAAGGCAAAGAATGGATTCCAGATATGCTGGTCAACATGTTAACCACATAGCTGCTAACTGTACAAAATGTGTAGTTATAAAAGAAATTAATAAAAGTATTCGTTTTAATCTTTGAATGAAAATTTATTGAGTGTTTGTGTTTTTACATGCTTAAAGGTTCTTTAGCTTACTTTCTTGGTGTACTTATTTGCAACTGAATTATTTCTTATTGTCCAGTATAAGCTTGAGAAGGATGGATTCGTCCATTTATTCAACTTTTGTTGTTTCTGTCCTGCTATATAAAGCATAGTCATGCAGCATCAGCTGTCAAATTAAACTGATATTATTTATGATTGTAGGTTTATTCCATTCGTGATGCTGCCGCTAATAACGTGAAGCGTCTTGCAGAAGAATTTGGCCCAGATTGGGCAATGCAGCACATAGTTCCACAGGTAGTTCGAATTCTGTGTTGCAATGATTTGGTTTTCAATTCAGGATCTTCTGCTCTGGAAAAAGAAATAATTGAACTTGTGTTCGACATGAGTAAAGTCACTAGAAAAGACAAAATTAAGTCAAAATGTATTTAAATTTCTTGGTTCTTATTATAATGCCTCTCACATGTGTCTCATCAATGGGATAGATTTTGGTGTAACTATTTATCGGGAGTTATTTCATAATGATTTTTGTCTATATTCTCTTAATGATTTTTGTCTATATTCTCTTTTTTGACTGTTTGTAAGGACTTTTCATTCTGTTGACAGGTTTTGGACATGATTAACAACCCACATTATTTGCATCGTATGACCATTCTACATGCAATTTCTCTACTTGCTCCTGTTATGGGCCCTGAAATTACTTGTTCAAAACTTCTGCCTGAGGTTATAAATGCATCAAAAGATAGGTAAATTTGTCAGACTCTGAAGCTTATGAATTTGTAATTATTTGTTTTGTTGCATATAACTTGGAATACAAGGCTGAGATTCACGTGTCACAGGGTACCGAACATCAAATTCAACGTGGCAAAGGTGTTGCAGTCACTTATTCCCATTGTTGATCAGTCTGTAAGTTATTTAACATAATTCTGTAATCTTTGTTCCTGGAAGCATTGGATCTTTGAAATCTTTGGAACTTAGTTATCATATTTTCTTTCATTATATAAGATGAAATGACTAATTTTTAGAGTCGAATAAATTGGTGTTGTTAATTGTTGTTGAATAAACATAGTTCTCTATATGTTGAATTAAACGGGCTAAAAATCAGAATATTTGCAGCTTGATAGGGCTAGATAGCATTTGGGCTCTCTCTCTCTCTCATTCTCGCGAACACACGCATATGTAGGTTCATCAATCATTTGCAAAATCTAAGGATCATGTAGTTGAGGACCTGTAATCAGTTTGTTCTTGAAGTCATTTCCTTTTAAAATATCCAGGGTAAATTACCAGTGTTGTAGTATCTTATGTTTCATTATCTGGTTTATAATCAAGAAGGGTTCTTGAACGATGCAGGTAGTTGAGAAGATGATCCGTCCATGTTTGGTCGAGCTGACTGAGGATCCCGATGTCGATGTCAGATTTTTCGCCACCCAAGCACTGCAGTCGAGCGATCAGGTCATGATGTCCAGTTAGATTTGTTGTTGTAATTAGCAATTTTTTTTCCTTTCTCATTCCTGTTCAGAATGCAGATATATTATATTTAATGTCTTACTGATGAGTTGCTAGAGGCTAGAGCTCCTTGTAGTCAGATAATATGTTTGCCCTCTGATACTTTGAATGCATTTTTTACCTCTTGTCCAGTAGATGTTTGGCACTCACCAACCCTTAGCTGGTAGCATGAAATATTAGTTCCATATCCGGATTTACCATCTCTCATGCTACCCTTTTTCGTGCTCGTGAGCTCATGAAAATAGTCGCGTTTTCTTATGGGAATGAGATTGTTTTGGCTTTCGAACTGTGCTCTTTATAACCACAAAACAAATGTCTGCTTGGAATTGAAAATGAATCTTGGAAGAAGGTAGCAATAATGCTGAAGGATTCTGGGAAAATTTGACTTGCATCCGGAATCGGAAAATCTTTTAAAAACACAGAAAACTAAATTACCTAAAAATGGGAATGAGGGGATCACATTGGATTTGTACTCATCTAAAAGATTTACAGCCATGTCACTTAAGAAGAGTCGCTTTGGCTTTTTTCGGCATTTTCTAATAATATGAATAAAATAAAAATAGGCCGACATTCAAATATTATTCAGTGTAAAATTTTAGTTCATCTGTCTGTACTTGATCACATTAGTTGGAAAATGGTAATACAGTCGTAAAAGGTTTTTTTTTTTTTTTTTTAATTTTTTAAATTATTCCAATATTTGTTGACCAATGAAAAAATGAAGGACAAAAATGGCAAGAAAAATATATATTTTTCCATTAACAAATTTAATCAAGTGGGTCACTATTATTTTTCACTTAATTTTGCAATCTTAACACTTATAAATTAATAAATTAAATAGAAACTATTTTAAGGAACAAAAATAAATAAAAAACCACGCTGTTTTGTTTCTTCTGTTCTCAAAATATTGAAGTTTATATTATGTTATATTAATATACACAAGCTAATTACAAAACGTACAGAGGTTCATACAAACAGAATTTCAACGCGGGAGTATAATAGAGAGCTATAAACTATAGATAATGTACATACAAAACTCCTACTTCGTTCCCAGATCAACTGATCCCTCAAAGAATGGCAGGGTCTTGATCCGTCGAGGCTTGACACAATCTGATTTCGCCCAACCAATCCTCTGATTAATGTTGTCATACACGATCAATTGCCCACGCATAGAGATATCTGCAATTGTCAAATGAACTGAATGTTACAATTAAGGGGATAGCTAATAGAGCAAGACTGATAAAGAATTCTGCAAAGAACATTAAAGGTAATGTACAATACAAACAGAAGAGGAGATGCAGGAAAATCGAACAACAAGTGCATTCACTTTAAAGTCATTGTGTACGAGCATTTCTATCTACTTCGATATGTTTCATGAATAAGTTTTTATTGAACTTGATCAAAAACCGACTCGAAGATAGTGAAAGTTGTTAACCTGTGCAGGAACCTACTCAAAAATGAGCTTTAGATTTTGCTAGAACTATCAAGTAATGCCATTAAATGATCTAAACATTTTGAGACACTTAAGGCAAGTGCACTAATTATAATGACTTTTTTCATATTTCTTTATGTTTTCTACTATCCAATAAATGTACCTCCAAGTATAATTGTCGATCCATCATGTACTTCGCTTCCATCGAGTATACCCAGGCATATATTACCTTTCTTCTGCAGAATAGAAAGACTCATTATGCAACAAGTTTTCAGCATCAACTTGAGTGAAGAGAATCTATTATAAAATGATGGGAAATCTTACACTGACGATCAAGTAGCCCTCTGGAGGAATACGAAGCTTTGTAGAAGCAATCCACCATTTGCTCCCAAACTGAAGGGTCAAAGTCTTGAAGTACTGCTTCACATCCATAACTGACCTGCATGCAAGTGGTTACAGGTTTTCGGAATATGATGCTGTTCTTGTTTTATGGCAGTCGTAATACACTTCATAAATATGCTAACAAACAGTACCTCCACTAATGATATATGTTTTGACCAAGGGAGGAATTAATAATTATTCAATAAAATATATAAAGCGTAGCACAAACAATCATTTTGGTCAAAAAAAATGTCTGACCTGATGGGAAGTTTAGCTCGCCAACAAAGGGGCAATGTTGAATCTGATGAATCTAGGATGAGTCCCATGTTTGAAACTTCCTTAAGCTGCGTAAATGTATAAAGTGAAAACGCTGATTTATGATTTTTCCTATAAGATGTGGATAAAAATACTTACAGAAGCAACCAATTCGATATATGCTTGTTTTGTGAAGTAGGTGTAAGAACTGCCAGTATCAAACAATGCCCGTCCTACTTGGCTGTCCCAACCACCTAAACTGAGTAGGCTACTTCCATAACTCATTTTCACAATTGCTGTATGGTAAAAGTCTCTTAACAGAAGAAAAAAAGAAGAGTCAGAAGAAAAATTAAAGGCAAAGCTGAACAAATGTACAAGGATAAGCATTGCAAACTTTTTCATTATAGAGAAATACACAAATATCAATCTGATGGATACTGCCTTCTGAAATTAACCCAAACTCACCTCCTTCACTCACACTCAGCAACTCAACACGCACAATAAGCCATTAAATCAACAACCAAGCAACAAACAGGAATACAAATGGAACAACTCAGGAGAAAATAGTAGATGATATTAATACTCAATAGAACAGTGGTTCAACAAGCAAAATAAGCAAATAACAACAGACCCAAATGCAAAATAACAGCTGGTCTTCCAGGGCCAGTACCTCTAGACACTACACACCCAAAATTCAGAATACCCTCTACACCTCACGTCTCTCATTTTATTACTGACACTCAGATTCTTAGTAACTAACTCTGCCACCTGTTGCTTTTAGTAATTCCCTTTTCTACCCCTTCCTCTTTTGTATTGTTGAGACACTATGGGTCCATCACAATCAAAACAGAAGAACAGAATAAAGCACATCTTAAGATGTGCATTAACTTGGAAGTAGCAACATAGAAATTTAATTTCATATAGCTGCATTTGTTAAGGAAAAAATATAACAGAAAGAAAGTTCATTTTTATTAACAAAATAGCAGCCACTAATAGCTCACAATTGAAAAATAATGAAGGTAGACATTTTTAACCTTCAGGCCTGGGTAGGACATGAAATCAACTTCCAAATAATGCTTAAAAAGTAATGAACATTTAATGGATCAGAATAAGGGTCCATATATTGTTTCCACATATATCCAGCAGCAAAATATTTTTGCAAAAGTAAAAAGCAAATAATTTCCTTTAAGAAACTAAAAGAGAATGAAATCTTTGGAGATCTATACTCACATGGAGGGAGAATCCAGCATCGGGACCCATGCCATACCCCAATTTGGTACAAGATCATCACCTAAGAACATATAGCCGCCGCTTCCTGCATCTGTGGCTAGGCAGTGACCAACCACATTATTAATGATCTTCTGGCTTGCCAATTGGGAAGGTAAACTAACTTTAGCTCTGCTTAGTCCAAGGATTCCATCTGTCTGTACTAGAGTGTTTAAAAGCAAACCTTGTTGATCATACGCACACCTTAACAACAAAATTTATTGCACAAATTAGCATTTTGATTTTGGTATGAAGACTAAAAATTCAAGTATGTAGCTGTGAAAAGTTAAAGGGGATACCCAAAAACAACATTTAACTTGGTCAATGATCCATTTGTAATCATTAGCTGAAGCTCATCTCTTGCAAGAACCCCCATAGAGGAGCTACGATCTGCATATTCAATCTCATAGTCACACTGGCAAGCTTCACAATATGCACCCTTCTGATTTCTTTGGATTTCCTTGCACAATGGGTCCTTGGAAGGTAATATGCTCTCAATTCTTGGCTTGTATAAAGGATTCGCTCCCTACATAAACTGTTTCCATTAGGGTAAAAATCATTTCTAGCCAAACAGATTTATCAAAAGGCTTAAATTTCATCATCTATAAGGTTAGGTGCTTTTGATGAAGGCATTTGATTATTAAGAAGGCTTGTTTTACCTTCACATCTAAGCTTCCTATCTTTCCTCAAGGCCAGGGAGAGGGAGAGGGGATAAATGTTGAAAACTTGAAAAATTAAATCACCTATCTAGGAAAAAGAAAAGGAAACAAACAAAAAAAAAAAAAAAAAGATGCAAAGAGGACTCACTCGTCCCCAAATGCAGACATATTTGAATGAGTTGCACATCATTTTTTATTTTATTTTGGTTTTAACTACTGCATTGCTGAAAAATAAAGAGCAACAAACTGTATGAGGTGTTGCCTTTGACGCTATTTTATGCCAAATGGTAAAAGTCATAAAACAACAATCCATTATTTTTTCTCCCAAAGTTGGTTAATTTTACCACAGGTTGGGTTTGTGAGAGAGTGAATTATGCGGGTGACTATCATTACAATTCAAGGGGCAATTTTAGAGCAATCCTTGTCTAATTTCACGGTCTACAAACAGATAAAACAATGAAAAAGAAAAGGTCATTCTTTTAATATATTTTTCTTCAACAATAACTATGCTACCTTGCAAACAAAGTTACACTAGAAACAAAATTGGCAAATAGATATATTCATTTCACATAGAGAAAGAAAACACATTCGACAAAAGACTTGTGCAAAATTCATTCAACAAATTCCAATGCTCAATTGAGCACTTCTGTGCATATGTTCAGATTAAGCATTACCTTGGCACAGCTGCTGCAAGGAGCATCACATTGAATCCATGTTAAATCACTCCCGGTATCAATATCAAGATAATAAGGTCTTGGAGGACTTCCAACAAGCATATATGTGAAATATAGTCTGTATGAAAATTAAAAATTTTAGTTAGCACCATTACTGAATCCCAAATGTTGTTCTGCATTCATAGGTCAAAGCAATAAGTATAATAAAGCTGTCAAATAAATCCTTTCGGATATTCTTCCGCAACCAAACCCATTAAGCCAAGTCAGCTTCAGGGGACAAACAATTTTTTTTTTTCTTCTTCATAGCAGAATAGCTGAATAGCATGCCACAACATCTCTGGCATTGCATAGCCATCGCCTACAGCAAACTAAAGCAAAAAACCAGAATTGCTGCCACCAGCATTGTAGGCATCACTATACAGCTCTAACAAGCATTGTCTCTGCTATGCAATTTCTGCGATGAAACAACACATTTACATTGATATTGGTTTCATCGATGCCCTCAATTTGAGGCAAAGATCACCGCTCCATTCATCATCAACAAACACCGCCACCGTTGCCATCACTTCGACACCATGAACACATATGCTCCTCTACAAATAGTATAATATTAGTTTTACAGAGAATTTATTTAACTAACTAGCCCTGATACTTCATCACTGTAGAAGATAAAAGGTCAGCATAACTGAATCCTATTAAATTGTTTCTTGAATTCACCAAAACAATACATAGAATAAGCAAAACATTTTCAACAAATAACACTCAAAACAAAAAATAGAGCCAGCATTTAAACAAAGCAGTAAACTTTTAAGCATACCCATCTGGATAAACGCTGCCCCTAACAGGGAAAATTGAAGAAGAATCAACACCGACAGTATTAGCAGAAAAAGACTTTTTGTTGATATTCTTTTTATCCGCATAAATTGAAGCTACAGCCCTCCCAAGCTTAAACTCTATATCATTCTCAGGAACACTAGATTTCCGATACAAAGGGAAAATAAGAGTCTTCTTATCCTCACGATCCTCTTTAGAATTACGAAGCTCTTGAACAGTGTGTGAAAACACGGAACTATAGAGAAGAAGAGCCAGAACAGCGATACCCAGAAGGCCAAAAAGCTTCCTTGGAGAGTCAAAAAGGGGTCTTGGTATATAGAATTGAACTGGAGGGGACTGAAGGGGAAGTTCAGGAACTGCGTTTTGTTCCTGTGGAATCAAATCATTTTCTTGTGGAGTTTGGTGGGGCTGTAGAGAGTCATTAGTAACAGTAAAAGCAGTGATGGTTTTGCCTAAAGAAGGGTTATCCGGAGGAGGAAGAGTGATGATGACAACGCCTCTGAGTTGGGGAACAGACTCTTCAGAATCCATGTTAAAAAAGGGATTCTGAAAATAAAAGACGATGAAAAGAGAACCACAAAAAAAAAAGAAGAAGAAGTGGGAACACTATCTGATGGTCATGATTGTTTTGGTTAGTGAAATGGATTTTGATTGAAAGAGAAGACTGGTTCTTGTAGTTGTTGGTGGTGGTGGTGTTGAATTCAGAACTACAAGTCAATGTATAAGAACAGAGATATTTTTGTACGCGTGGAAAAGTGGGCGCTGAACTGCTGAAGATTCCAGGAATTTTACACCTTGGACTACAAGGCGTAGAAGCGGGCCAACCAGGCATATGCCTGTTTATTTGGTAATTGCTGCGGTCTCCGTTGATTCATCTTGTCTTCTTACGTGAGACACTTCTTTTGATTACAAATGCAAACATTATAATTGCTTTAGATATCAATATTTTAATTATNACAAAAAATAGAGCCAGCATTTAAACAAAGCAGTAAACTTTTAAGCATACCCATCTGGATAAACGCTGCCCCTAACAGGGAAAATTGAAGAAGAATCAACACCGACAGTATTAGCAGAAAAAGACTTTTTGTTGATATTCTTTTTATCCGCATAAATTGAAGCTACAGCCCTCCCAAGCTTAAACTCTATATCATTCTCAGGAACACTAGATTTCCGATACAAAGGGAAAATAAGAGTCTTCTTATCCTCACGATCCTCTTTAGAATTACGAAGCTCTTGAACAGTGTGTGAAAACACGGAACTATAGAGAAGAAGAGCCAGAACAGCGATACCCAGAAGGCCAAAAAGCTTCCTTGGAGAGTCAAAAAGGGGTCTTGGTATATAGAATTGAACTGGAGGGGACTGAAGGGGAAGTTCAGGAACTGCGTTTTGTTCCTGTGGAATCAAATCATTTTCTTGTGGAGTTTGGTGGGGCTGTGGAGAGTCATTAGTAACAGTAAAAGCAGTGATGGTTTTGCCTAAAGAAGGGTTATCCGGAGGAGGAAGAGTGATGATGACAACGCCTCTGAGTTGGGGAACAGACTCTTCAGAATCCATGTTAAAAAAGGGATTCTGAAAATAAAAGACGATGAAAAGAGAACCACAAAAAAAAAAGAAGAAGAAGTGGGAACACTATCTGATGGTCATGATTGTTTTGGTTAGTGAAATGGATTTTGATTGAAAGAGAAGACTGGTTCTTGTAGTTGTTGGTGGTGGTGGTGTTGAATTCAGAACTACAAGTCAATGTATAAGAACAGAGATATTTTTGTACGCGTGGAAAAGTAGGAGCTGAACTGCTGAAGATTCCAGGAATTTTACACCTTGGACTACAAGGCGTAGAAGCGGGCCAACCAGGTATATGCCTGTTTATTTGGTGCTGCGGTCTCCGTTGATTCATCTTGTCTTCCTACGTGAGACACTTCTTTTGATTACAAATACAAACATTATAATTGCTTTAGATATCAATATTTTAATTATATATTATATAATATTTTATTATAGAGGATGTTTTATTAATAAGAAGATATTTTATCCCGAAGATTATTATAAATGTTTAAATAAATGTATTTGGTTGGTTATAATAAATAGCTGAATATGTTATATTTATATATTTAGTTGGGAATATAAATAGGTTAGTATGTTATACAGATTACTAAATTATCTTTTTTTTTTAAATATTAATATAATATTATTTTTATTATTTTTTTAAATCATTTTTTTAACCTTTTACATTTGAAATTTTGCTAAAACACTCCAATCATATAAAACTTAATTTGTAGCAAAATCACCCACACCAACCCCAAGCCACTGTCTTCAACTAGCCACCATCGTCGGTCGCGGCCGACAGTCGACGAAATAGCGTACGACCGACCATGCATTGGCAAAGCCATTTCCGACCATGGATCTCATGGTTACATCTTTGGCCGTGAAACGGTAATAGAAATAGCCTTGCTAGTGCACAATCGGCTAGATCCTGTCAGTGGTGCGCCATTACGGCGGTGGTGGCCGGCAATGGTCTTGGGTGGCTAATGGTATTTTGTTAATTTTTAAACTTTTTTGTGGTTGGGGTGTTTTAGCTAATTTTTCAAATGTAAGGGGGTTAGGTAATTGTTATTTGGTAGACATTTGAGGGCAATTGTGTTTGAACTCTGAAATTGTATTTAATTAAGGGTAAAATAGATATAAAAATCAGATTACTTCGATAATCTTTTAATAACAACCTTTAGAAAGGGTATCTGATTACTCTCTACATTACCAACAGTAAACATTATTTGCAATAAAAGATACCTATAATAATTTATTACTTACAAACCAAACAACGAAATCTTATAAAATAAACGCAAATTACTCCCGTTATCTTTTACGATCCCAACCAAACTCACCCTATGTATAATATGAAAAGCCTCCTGCCAAATCTTTTTACATTACGATTTTTCGAAAATATATTTATGATTTATTTCATTAGTTTGTAACATCACTTAGTATAAAACGTATAAATTCTTAATGAAAAGTCTTAAGTGCCTATTTGTTACGAGGTTTTTTAGTATATATTATGCATGGGAAATCCCCTTGACGATTTCTCAAATATTGTCATTGCTTCTTCTTCGTGAAAAAAAAAAAAAAAACTCACGACTTGTGGCTCTTTTACTTCCATAAAGCTTTCGCTTGTTGCAGGAATGGAAATCTCCCACTATTGTCTCCTGTCGTGTAGGAGTTTAGGTTGTGTCTCAATAATAATATGACTGATCATCCTCTCAAACCAATTATTTACCGTCGATTTATTAAACATTAATAAAATAACCATATACATTGTCTACTGAGTGTTAGATATAGTTGAATTGGCATTTAAATATGTCCAATCACACATAAACATGACGTATACAACAAAAATGTACAAATTACCATATTCAATGTTCTCAACAATGGATGAAGCATATACTGTACTAAACTAATTTTAGTTCAAGAATTTGGTGATAAATAAATAAATAAAAAAATCACAAACAAAATGTAGATGATCAAAACTTATTCTACTAACAAATATCAATTCAAGAATTTCAGATTTGAAACTTCTGAATTGTGAGGTGGCTCAGGTGGGTATGCAAGGAACAATGGAAGAAAAAAAAAAGAATATTCTCTACAATTTTCAGATTTAAAAATGTGGAATTTAAGCTTTTTTTTTTTATAATTTAAAATATCAGCCGTTGGATCTTAGTAAAATTTATAGAATTAAAATTTTGCCCCAAAACAATCCAAAAATTATAACAAAAAGCTCTCCTTCATCTTCTCCATCTTGTTTCCATTACCCATCTCCACTTCTCTCTCTAAGCCAGAAAATACCTTACCCATTAACAATGCTAATCAGATCACATTGAAAACCCCTCAAATTCAGATCTACGAAATGGCGCGAATCTTCGAATATTTCGTCGTGTGCGGTCTTGGCCCCGAGATTCGGACGCTAGATGGCAACAAAGGCTATCATGGAACAGAATTTCTCTACATGCCTTCTCTTATCGATCAATACCCTCCTCTCAATCACTCTCTTTACCCTCCTCCACCTCCCCAACTCTCCACTGTAAGTCGCTTTTGCTTTCTTAAAGCATTTTATTTTGTTTCCTCTGTTGACAATTTTCGTTCTCTGTTTTTGCAGTGTGTTCTTCCTGCTGGCGTCCAGTTCTACTCCACCGGTTTTGATCCCAACGACGCCTCTTCGTTGCCCAGGAGCTACCCTATTGTTTTGACAGGTCTTTTAGAGTTTGTTTAGTTTGTGATTTGAACATGATTTTCAGAAAACTTCAAATATAATCCCAGAATTTGAGTTGAATCTCGACATTGAAATATTTTCTAAATAAATATATTGTGTAATTCATGTTCGTATTCCGAGTTTTGTATGCTAATTCACGTGGCATTGCTTTATTGTATTAGTTGCACGTATGAATTGTGTGATTATATTTGAAATTTGTTTAAGTAAATGTGTTTTCTTGAAATTTAATGATCTTGATGTTTGGCTCACAAAGTTCGAAACTTATGTGGGTTTGTGTTTGTATCTGAGTTTGAGAAGATGTTAATGGGAGTTGAAATGTAGTTCATTTTGGTTATGATTTTGTTGCAGAGGGTGATGGGTCGAAGATTTATCTTAGTTGCATTGCGTTTAGAGATCCAGTTAGCGAAGATATTGCTGAAGCTTATCATACTCCTGCGAATTCGTTTGCTGATAAATGTATTTGTTTTGTTTCTCGCTCGCCTAGTTTTCGTGTTCTTCGAAATGCTCTTGAGGAACTTTTTTCACTTTGCTTTTCATTTAGTGGAAGCAGGTGAGTTTTCTGTTGATGAATTGATGTAGATTGATTTAATGTAGGAATCAATGGTATTATAGTTTGTTCATTGCATATAATGCTATCAGTTCTCAAACAATTTCAGCAAGCCATTGTGGGATATTATAGCACACTTGGTGTCCAATGTTCCATTACCAACTCCTGGAAAGGATCGAGTCTTGTTTGCTGTTGAGAATTCCTTACTGTCTGTGGAAGCTCCACCTAAGGATGGGTTACCTCATGCTGATGTAGGGCCTTTTGCTTTTAGCTGATTTGATTTAGTAATCATTTTCATTGATAGGGGAGCTTGTTATTTGATAGTTCTGTTCCTTTATTTGTTGAATGCAGATACCATTTCAGCCACTGGTGCAGTGCTTGGATGTTGACAATTTACTTAAACTTTTCATAGCGGTCTTGCTTGAAAGGAGAATTTTGCTTCGATCAGACAAGTATCTATTTATCTTTTGACAAATTCCTTTTTAAATTATTCGTTTAATGCTGTTGCTAAGTTAATACTGAATAATATAGTGATTATATATTTCAAGGGCCAATTTAATTAATCTATTGATTAATTGTTGTAGTGACAAAGACAATCTGCGGTGTTGTATTGGATTTGGTTGGAACCATATATGGTTGAGTTGCTATTGTTGGATGAAGTCTAATTTAATCAGTTTATTAATTAGTTGGACCAAAGCGTAGACATTTCTATTCCTTCAAATATACAAAAAACTTTGAAGTCTGTCAAGGTTTTGGATCAAATCCCAATGGTTTGATTTCTGTCCGGTTGATACTTAGTTGACTGCCATTTTTTTGGGGACACGAATGTTAGGACCCTGCAGTGTCTATTGGTTAAATGTGATGGTTTTTTCCCTATTTGCAAGCTAAGGTTTTTGAGGGATATGTTGGGGGTACTTAGGTGGAGTAAAAAATGTTCTCTCTCTCTCTTTCATTTCCCCTTTCTTTTTCTTTTTTCTTTTCCTTTTACCATATTTTCTCGGTATTTATTCCGAATAATGATACTTTTGTCACTGTCAGCAATAGTTTGGTACCCTCTTGGTAAATTAATTCGTATTGTGATATATTTAATTGATTGAAATTATGTTACAATGTTGAATGGCGGTCTGGCGTGAGAAAAATAGATATTACTTTACTAATTTGTGGTTTTACTGCATTTGTTTAGTTTTAATTCAGTTCGATGATTCCTTTCATTAACCAGTTCCATCATGATCATGTAGTGCCTATCTTCCTAGCAATGCAAGTTATTGTATATTGATTGCGCTTTACCTTGTCTTTCGTAGGTATTCTCTTCTAACTCTAGTATCAGAGGCATTATGCCACTTAATATATCCATTCCGGTGGCAGGTTAGTTTCAAATAGTTGATGTTTATCTTTTGCATTAGTGTAAATTATATTTGCATTTAATATAGATGTTACAAGTGTTATTAGCTGGTAACATGTCTTATATGATGATGAAAATCACAAATAAATATGTCTATTGATGACTTGATGCATTTTATTTTCTTGACTGTCATCTAATCCTTGTATGTTTGTTGTGCTGAAGCATGTCTACATTCCATTACTGTTTTTCAGTGGAGTAGACTATATTGATGCTCCTACACCTTATATGATGGGTCTCCATTCAGGTGTTGATACATCTAACCTCGTCATGGATGGTGTAAGTAGTCTTGAGAACCTTAGTCTTTAATGTGCCTTTTTTTCGTTAGATGATGGACCTCTGATCCATTTCAATATTTGTAATTTTTTTTTTAAGTATTGAAAGTCATATGTGCATACATTTATTCCTCCTTATAAATTGTCTCTTTTTTGTTACTTGCTGCTTCCTTATAGTCTTTTGTTATATTTTTCTACTAATTGCATTTGTGTATCCATGATATATCCTCTTTGACTCCTTTGATCGTGGACAATTAAGTAGGATAGGTGCTGAAAGCATTGGATATGATTCTACAGCTGCTTGTAGAACCACAACATGATTGGTTTAATCCTTCTGGAAAGGAGTTAGTGAAGTACATGTTATATGTGGGTCATGTAATCATTATGTGATTCCAGGCTGAAAGAATTTGAACAAAAATTAATATAGTCACTTAGGGATAATTATCTTGCCATGCTATCGCTAAGGTCAATTAGGGGGGTTTCTGTGTTCTCTAGCCTCTTCTAGCTCTGATAATACCCTCACTGATGCTTTCAGATAGGCACATTTCTTGATTTATATATAATGAAGTGTAGTAAATTTCATCAATTTAGCTTTATTAATTCATTAAGAATCAGCTAAGTGATGATAAGAGCCATCGCATAGTATGATATGTCTTTAATGTTTAGACTAGTATGCAATTAGTCTATCTTTACAAAGAAGTGCTCCTTCCCTCATTAGTTGCGTTGAAACAGTGCTAATCCCTAAGGCTTATGTGTAAGAGTTCAGTTATTCTGATACACCTTTCACTTGCATGGCAAAATTCAACAAATAGCTTGTGAGAAAACCATCTTACTCTCTGCTATATTTTAGTTGATAGAATGAAGAGATTTCCACGAAGCAAGATCTCTTAGTTAAATAGACTATGATACTATATTGAAACATTACTACTTGTTAAGAACTTAAGCTTATAGGAAAAAATGTTATTTGAATTCTATCAAGTTTAATGTTGGTACCCAACAGTTTAAAACTGAGTAGCTTTTGAAGGGGCATGGTTCACCAAATCCTTAATGAAGTTTGTACCATACTCATTTTGTGATTGGGATTGTAAGCACTTAATTTTTAAAAATCATCTTTTGCTCTTTATATTGCCAGAACTTCTCTACTTGAACAAATTAACTTCTATTCTTTCTTAAGCATTTGATTACTCATGACCTCATTCCTGGACATTGAGGATTTAGGTTCCACTCCCCAGTCAATTTCTTTTTCCTTCTTGGCAGCAACTCTTGTGTATCTCCATTGGACTAATGACCTGTCTAAACAATTTCCTAAAAGGCTTTCCAATAATGAGTGAGCATAAGATGTTGGTTATGGGCTTGGGTTACAAATAAATTTGAGCGATTTCTTTTTTCTTTATTCAAAGGGATTTGGCTGCTGCTGTTTCTTAAGAGTATTAAATTCTAAGTCTTTTTTTATTGACACTATTGGCCCACCTCTTTGTAAATTAATCTTTCTTTAAAAAAAGTTTTTGTTTCTTATGAAAAAAGAAAACTGTGCATAGATCTGTCTGCGTAGACTTTTGTGACTTCTCTTTGCCTTCCTGCTTATGTTTATTTTATTCTTTTTGAAGTTTGTGGGTGTGTGTGCTATTTCACAAATGTCTGTTTTTTGAGAGATATAAATTCTTGCATCTCATTTTCTTGTACCTTTATTGTTGTAGGTAGTTGTTGTGGACCTTGAGTACAATCGAATTTCTACAACAGAAGAAATACCGCTGATTCCAGAGCCTGAATTAAGTTCTCTACGTGGAGATATTCTAAAGTTACTATATCCTAATGTTGTTGGGATTGATCAAATGAGTTCTCATCTAGTTACTTCATCGGAGCAATATTCTAAAGGTTGCGCCAAGCCATGGGGAGAGGATCATGACCTTCAACTTAGGTGATACTTGGATGCAAATTTTGTGAAGTACTCATTACTTTCCTAGTGCCAGTTGTTTTAGATTAACTGCATCTATAATTTGCTTTGAAAGATTTCTGTTTGTTCTTATCTTTCTAAATGTTGACTCATGTTACATTTTCAGGTGTGCTGTATTTCTCTTACATCTGATTGTGGTTCTGCATTGTTGTGACTATAATAGTGGACTGTGGATGCATTTTTCTTTTTCCTCTCTTTTGTTTATCTGTCTTTCATTACTCTTCTGTTAATATTGACATATAGGGATAACATGTTTTTTATTGTTTCTGAAAATGACGCAGAAAGAATTATATGCACGTACCCTGGAAATGCTAATAAATGCTGCTGATGCTTGTTTTCTGCCATCTGAGATGTAGCTTGATAGTTGTTTGTACCTACTGCAAATTTATTAAAAGCTTATTGACAAACATTGTTTTGGCTTTTTCAAATGAGTTATTACTTAAATGTTATTTTGCATGAACAACTAGAATATGTATGAAAGACAAAAAAAAAAAAAAAAAAAACACTTTGATTAGTACCCTTATGGATGTAGGCATGTATTCTGCATTTGGGTTAAATGTTAAGAGAAGAATTCAGCTGATGATCATATTTTAATTTTAGTTTTGAATGTAAGTGAAAATATTTATAAGATTATTGATCACATTAGCCAAAGTAAATGTTATATGTGGAATCCAGGAATACTAATTTTCATTTTTACCTTGCACCACTCATTAAATACTGTTACACACTTCTAGTTTGTAAGTTTTGCGGATTTGTTTAAATTAATTATTACTTTATTTAAATATGATCTTATCTGGTGGGTGTTCAAGATGTATAATATTGATGTTAAAAGCTGTTCCTATTCCTGCTATATCTTCTAAATGCTACAAACTAATTTACAGTGTTTATTATTGTTATGTTTATTATTATTATTATTATTATTATTTTTTTTAATGCATTCTTTACTCTAAATTGTTCATCTTGTTCATGCAGTGATTCTTTAGCTTGTCAGTACAGATATTTCCATTATGTAAAGACCTGTCAAATAGAATTTGACAAGAGAAGCCTGTTTCTAATGGTTTGTCATGCTTTTTTTCAATATGCAGGTTAATATTCCTAAAGTTCTTTGCATCACTATTAGGTGGCTACCGCAACTTCATTGTATGAAATTTTAATCTTATATCTTTTTGTATGATTTGGCTTTTTCTGTTTCATAAATAATCTTCTTAGTAATAGTTTGGTTAAAATAATATTTTTCTCGGGAAAGATAGTGGCACTTGTCTATTTAACATTGAATTTTGAAGCATAATTCTTGCTTTTATTGTGTACCATAGTCTTCTAAGTACTATTTTGTTCAAAATAATCTTGTCAGGAAAACACTGGCGGCACTCTTGTCTTCAACAACCAAGCATTTTTAAAGAAGCGGTCTCGGTCAACCAACCAGCCACCGGAGCCCATGGTAATATTATGTCATCCCACTAGTTATTATCTTTTATCTACTTAAAATTGGCTTCCTTTTTTATGTCTGTCATATTTGACTCTTCACTCACTCTCTTTTACCTCTTTCCTTCTCACTGTGTTGAGTGCTTGCAGATGTATAATCATGTGGAAAGTGCTCTACTTCTTTGATACATTCTTCTTTTCCAGCATTTTCTTTTGAAATTTAGTGTTCTCATACTATCCTTAACCGATCATCTCTTGTTGTCTGCAGATAACCCAGTTCTTAGATTCTCTTGGTTTCTTGGATTATGTGGAGAGAGGTATTGGTTCTGAAGGAAACAACCATAATCTCCTTGACAAATTACAAGATGCAATTGGAAGGGGTCAAAATCCTATGTCTATTCTTCCATCATCTTCGGTAGACCCTGAGATTATTACCATATCAGAGTCTGATACTGGAATATCGGGTAAATTTTACTTCCATCTTTTTCCTGGGATTTCAATTATATATATTAGACTGAGGTAATTAAGTTGTGTTTGGCAATAATCGTGTTTTCATTTTCTTTGATTCTGCAGGATCTGGTGCCAAATATACTTATGATAGATTTCCTTCAAATGTAAGAACCGAAGAGCAGGAAGAGAAGAGGAGGCAAATTCTTGCCTCGGTTAGTGGAGCTTTTGAATACTCAACAAAGCATAGTCCTAGGTATACTTTTATGCATGGAAATAAAATCCCCTTTGTGCTTTTTCATACCTATTAGCACAGTTTAAATTCTTTTTCTTTTTATATTTTATATTTCTACCAGTTCACCGTCTGGGCGAGTGGGTAAGGACCCCAAAGCAGATAATTTGAGTCCAATGGAGAGGGCTGTAAGTTCTTCACTCCTTATCATGACCTCTAGTGACATGGTTAAGATTCAGAATTTCCTGAGCTGATTTAACTGTCAATTTTTTACAGGCGGAAAGGGAGCGCATGGTTTTGGACATAAAAGTTAAGCTGCAGGTAAACCTTGTTTTTGTATATTTTTTTAAATAGATAATCTTCTTTATATTTAGGTGATATACATTTAATAATTATCTGTTAATATTGGAATTAATTTTCTATATTTTGAGTCACTGTATAGTTCAAATAATTTGGTTCACTCAATTGAGTCAATTCAAAATTTTATGATAATTGTTGGATTGCTGTAGGTTTTTTGTTTCTCTATTAGAGTGGGGTGCTGGCAACTTTGGGGGCTAGGCTCTTTATAGATTAGTAAAAACAAGTTATAGATTTTGGCTATTATATACAAGTAGAATAAGCCAATATGTTGACTATATCCTGTGTGGAATAGACACAGGATATGTATGTACTTGACATTATTTATAGAAAGGTGTAAAGGACATGGATGAGTCTATGTATGGATATTGTGCTTACATCTTTGTACCACTGTTAGAGGATACATGCACATGTTTGTACCATTACACATATATATATTCTCTAGTCATGACGTCCAAATAAAAATTATGTTAAGACTATACTTAATCACTGTTGGATTCATCTCATTGGACTGAAATGATATTTTACAATTTAGATTCAATGGTATATATGGATGGTCTTGACAAAATTATATTAGGACGTCCTAACTAGAGGATTATTCTCTCTCTCTCTCTCTCTCTCTCTCTCGCCATATATATATTATATATAATATTATATATTATATTATATATATATATATATATTCTCTAATTCAACTGATGAAGGTTTTGTCATTGAAGGCCACATAAAATAGAATTTCCCTGAGTAAATGGCTGGGACCAGCATGTGTATATTATTTCAGACATATATAGTGTTAGAAAAGAAAATTTAATATTATCAAATTTTCTAATATTTTGGCGATTTTTGAGTTGGTCATGTTATGTGTAACAAAGTGTTAATACCCCTTTCTTCCAACATCAAAACAAGCACTTGACACCCTAGTGAAATCAGAATATATTCGCATACTTTTCTCATGACATGCAATTTGGACAAGTCCATATAACTTTATATTGGTTCTTCTTGTACTGGACCTTATATTTTTGGAACTAGGGTTATTAAATTTTCATATTATTTTTAAACAGTATCATTTACAGAAAGAAATTATATTGTAATTGTATTCTCGTTATTTTCTGTGTGTGGGATTTCCTTGCTGTTCTTTGTAATGTTTATAATTTTCTTAAACATAATCTTTACAAGTAGAAAGACAGACAGATTTGTGAATTTGATGCTTCCACGCTGATGCTGAAATTTTTATATGCTTTCTTAAACAGGGTTTGTGGCTGCGCCTTCTGAAATTGGGAGCAACTGATGATCCACTGTCATCGTTTGAATATGGCACAATCCTTGGTATGCTTCTTAAAAATTCTTTCATTGATGTTTTTAAGGAAAATTCCTTATGGCATGCAAATTCATTTGCTTAATAGCTGAGATACCCTTGCTTTAACACACATTAATAATTTCCTTTCACAGCCTTGATAGAGTCTGATGCTGAAGGGATTGGTGGAAGTGGGTTTGTTGAATGTATCAGGGAGCATATACATTCAGTAAGTTTAGCAGTTAATAGTATCTACTGATATAATGTGTGCTGTGCACGACATGACTCTAACTCTGATACTTAATTTACTCTCTCAGGGATGGCATTGTCAATTGACTGAGGAACAGTTTATTGCAGTGAAAGAATTGGTAAGCAGATGTTAAGAAACTCTCCATTCCTCAACCTGCATATACATACATGTATATATACACACAAACACACACACAGTCAAGTTGTTAAAATATTTGATATGATCTTTTTATTTTCTAACAACAAATGACTTCATTGAAGTATAATCTCCCACTAGCTTTATAGTGATGGTTTTTGCCCCAGTTTGCTCATTTGTTGTCTCTTGTTCCTCTGACACTTTGTTTTGGAACAGAATAGTTCATGTTTTTATTGATTATTGGTATTTTCATCCCCCTTCCCCTTTCTCCCCATGTAGCTCAAAACAGCAATTAGTCGTGCAACCTCTCGAAATGATGTGTCAACTATTATAGATGCCCTTGAAGTGTCTGCTGAGATGTTCAAGAAAGACGCTAATAATGTTTCTGACTACATTCAGCGCCATCTAATATCTCTCTCTATTTGGGAGGAGTTACGGTATGTGTCACAGATCATAATTATAATTATGGAATTTCATTAATCACTGTGATGAATTCTTCATCACCTTTCCCTTGCCGTTACACGTAGGACATGGTGGTTTTCTTATAATTGAAATTTTACCTAATTATGCTTTTTACTTGTAATTGCCATTTAGTTTTCCTTGTTTTGAGGCCTATTTTCCCTTCTCTAAGAAAAGAATAATTAGTAACTTAAATCTTTTGAGCTTTCTAGGAAAGATAATGTCCAGGTCATTCTACTACTTCCTTTATTTTATCTTACATTTTAATAAGAGGTGGAGGTTGTAATATGGATTTTTTCTGATTTAGTCTTTATAATTTTGAGTTATTTTTGTTCACCTGAAGTGGTCATATAAGTTTTTTGGCATGACAGTCCTATAAAATTCAAAGTTGCACTTTTTTTGAAGACCTTATATGACTCTCTTGCAGGTTTTGGGAAGGCTACTTTGACTATTTATCAGATCGATTTTCAAGCCAGTAAGAAGAATTCATTCTTTAAGTCTTGCCATTTATTTATATGATAGTCTATTGAGTATCTCACCAATTTTCTTCCTATACTTGGTGCTTATTTCTTGTAATTTTTGGTACTTGCTTTTGGTTGTGTGCAATGACACTTATACTGGCCTCTATCTACAAGCTTAAATGCACTGGGTTAGATTTTAGATTAGGATTTTCTATATAGAGACTATGGTTGCATTGATATGCACCATGTGTGGTTTTTTGTGGCTTATACTTTCCTTAGGTTGTCTAATGTAGTAAGGCTGTATTTTGGTTCTGTCTGTGTTGACTTGCATCAGCAGGAATAACAGAAGCTCTGAGAATTGTGAACTTATGATTTAAAACCAACTGGATATTAAAATTGAACAGCCATCCAACCCTATCTGGTGAGGTTATTAATTCGTTTAATTTAATAGACTTTCATTGGAGAATGAGAGGAAAAATTTCTCAGCATGTTTAACTTGTAACATTGAGTTGTGACTGCATAAATCAAATGTAATGACTACTTGTGTTGAGGATGATGTGTGGCAGGTCACCTGATATATTGGCCAAACTATACCAAATTTGATATGGTTTCGATAAACTTTTATTCCTATTTTTATTTGATGGAAGTACATGCAAGTTAATCATTGTTTATCTTTGAAAGTATATGTTAAACCCCCAATGCATGATTGATGCTGTGAAGAATTAATTGGGTGATCTAGTTCAAAATTATATGGTTGTTTATACTTTTTTTTATTGGTATTTTTGGTATCATGTTCAAGTCTGGTATTGGATTTGATTTGAGTGGGTTTTATTCCAAGGGGTTCTTTTCTTTTATTGTTGGGTTGGGCTTAGTTCATCTGTGGTTTTTAAAGGTCCTAGTAATGGAGGGTACTTGCATTTCTAATGTATATTTCTATTTAGCTAGAAACCCATCTCCAATGTTTGTAACTTGAGAATCTGTTTCGTGTCATAATTTAATGCATGAAATTTCTTTGATTCTGTTGAAAAATGTTTATTTGGGAAGCATGCTTATCTATTGTGTTTATGTGTTATCATGGCAGATCAGCCAATTATGCATCTTTGGTGACAGCGCAACTAATTGTAGTGGCATCACACATGGTACTGTTCTTTTCTCTTTAGCAACATTTTCTGGGTTAGCTTTAGCAATCTCCAACTAAGCTTACTGTATATTTGTTATCATTTCTTGAATTTATTGATCTTATTCTATGTTATCATGAAGGATGGATTGGGACTTCCAGATACTGATGCCTGGTACATGATTGAAACAATAGCTGGGAAAAACAACATCGGATACAAGCAATTTGTAAGTTAAACTACTGTCCTGTAGTATTAGCTGTGATATTATGTTTTTTAATTTATCATCTGCACAACTTTTTCTATCTCGTCTCTTTCTGCCTGAATTTATGGGTGTTTTCTATTCAGGATTTCCATTGTGATCAAACCCTTAAATGATCATGGGCTTTTGGCCATGTATGCAATTATTTTATATGATTCACTTTGGTGTACTGTTCAATTTCTTACTTTATCTCTTACCAGCCTTCTTTTTTATTTTTATTTTTTTGTGTGTGTGGTTAGCTTTGATGTTAATTACTTAAAAGTTGTAAATGAAACACAAAAAAATAAGCATGTACTGTCATTGGCATTTTTCTTTCCTTTTTAATTTTACAATTTATTCTCTCATTAACAGCAGGTTCTATCTCTGTTGAAATTCAATTCAGTGTATGATGTTGGACAAGTTTGAGGGAAATTGTCTAGAGTCACTGTGAGCCTTAAATTTTAAGAATTTTATTTTCATGAGAGCCCCAGGGATTGCATTGTCATGAAACTGGTTGAAACTTTTTGGTTTCATGATTCCTCTTGCTGTAACATATTATGCAACTGCACTGTTGCCTCAGTTTATGTATATTACCAATAAAAAGTTCATCCTCCAATTTGTTTCAGATACAAATAAGAGGGTTTCTCTCACATATCCAGCAACTTCGCATTGGTTACTGGGGATTGTCATCTTTTAAAGCCCAGTCAATATCATCTCATGGGTTGCCATCCCCACGTCCAAAGGATGCCACAATTGAGGATCAGCAACCTGCTGAGGCTACTGGTGTTGGAAGAAGCTGGGTTCAGAGCATGTTTAGCAGGGAGCCATCATCAAGAACAAACTCTTTTAGTCGAGTTCGTAGATGGACTTCCGACAGTGGGTCTTCAGGTATGTGTTTTTTCGACCTTGGACTTGTTCTGCCATCCTGTATTCAGATCATCTACCTTTATATTACCATGTCTTATTGTCTCTTGTGATCAGCTGCAAATGACAATGGGACTCCTAGAAAACAAGATTTAGCAGCTGCCGGGCAGAAGAAACTTCAAACCAATGTTCGTGTACTTAGGGGTCATAGTGGTGCGGTTACAGCTCTACATTGTGTAACAAGGAAAGAGGTGTGGGATCTTGTGGGTGACCGTGAAGATGCAGGTTTCTTTATCAGCGGGAGTGCAGATTGTTCGGTGAGTTACATCTCTGATTGTTTTCTTCTGTCATAAAATTCCTTTGCACAAGAGTCATGCATTGCTTGGAAGCTGGATTTCTGTCTCATTCTGTGGAGCCTGTCAATGGGAATTGTGGAGTGTGGATTAGTGAGCTTGCTTGGGATTCTATTTATAAGTGTTAAATAAATCTATCTAGCAATTTGCCAGTAACCATGTTTCCTGACACAACCATGTCTGACGTACTTGATCCTTTTAATTCTTTTGGCTAGTAAATGAAATTAAGAGGGAAATAAGTAACAGAATGTGTAAAATTGTTCCACATTCTTAATATATTGGAACTTCCAACTTTGATGGATGAGTTTTTTTTCAACCTTCATTGTATAATTTGGGGCAAGTTTTAACTTGATGTTTGATCTTCTAAATTTTTTGCAGGTTAAGATCTGGGATCCTAGTCTTCGTGGTTCAGAACTTCGAGCGACCTTGAAAGGACACACACGGTTGTTCTTTTGCTGATATTTACATATTACTTCTTTTATGGATTTGTAGAAGCTTAGGTGTAACTACACCTTACTTCTAATTGGTTGTTGCTCTGGTTATATCACCCTTTCTTCTTCTATGCAGAGCCATTCGGGCTATAAGCTCTGATCGAACAAAGGTGGTTTCAGGATCTGATGACCAGTCTGTTATTGTATGGGATAAGCAAACATCTCAGCTTTTGGAAGCGCTGAAGGGCCATGATGCACAGGTTTTCTTTCTCATGCATCTTTGCTTGAATTATGGACTGGATATATAGCTAGAAAGGTTTTTTGCTTGTTGTGCTTTGACCTTTGTGCTGAATAATCAGCAATTTCAGCTCAAAACTGTTTGTTAGAGCCTAAAAATTATGGGAAAATCTAGATTAATTCTACTGATTTGTTGGGGAAGCTTATGGCAAATAATATTGCACGTGCTTGTGGTAGTTAAACTTGGCTGTTATATAGTTGATGACAGTGCCATATTCCATTATTTCTTTCATTTTGGGTACGAGTGGGTTTTGGGCTCCCAGTGAAACAATATGATGCTCATTTTGATCTGCCACTTAGAAAGATCTATTCATGACGGTCTATATATTTTAAATTCAAAAATATTTATTAGACGATTAGTCTTCAGTTTGTCCATTTTTTGCTCACTATTAGTGTTTCTTATCTTCAGTTAACATTATAATGAACTTTTTGTTTTTGCTTTTTATGTCTTTAGATTTTTTTTCCCTAAATGAAATGATTTTTTGTGTTTGCTGTCTTCAAAGTTATTGTTAGATACAAACACCTCTTTGGTAAAATATTTAAGGGTTATCTTTTGCTAGTATTGGATCAGTGAACATTATGGAAAGAATTGGCAATTTTATGGTCTGGATAATCCATATTATGGACTACAAGGATCAAAGCATGTGATAATTCTTATCATTCATCATGTAGGTCAGTTGTGTGCGGATGCTGTCAGGTGAACGTGTCCTTACTGCTTCGCATGATGGGACTGTGAAGATGTGGGATGTTCGAACTGATACTTGTGTGGCAACAGTTGGTCGATGCACTAGTGCAGTTTTATGCATGGAGTATGATGATTCCACTGGAATCTTGGCTGCTGGTGGTAGAGATGCGTAAGTTTACTTGAGTGTACATCTGTATCGCTGTTGTAGATTTGAATTTTTTTTTTTCTCTAACCTTTTATATGTACTTGCACTATCAGGGTTGCCAACATCTGGGACATTCGTGCAGGTAGACAGATGCACAAGTTTTTAGGGCACTCAAAATGGATTCGGTGAGCCCAAAGAGCTTGACTTTTTTGTTTTTGTTTCTTCTACAATTTCATAGTTGTATCTTTGAAGGAGCCTTCTAATTATTTGTCATTTATGCAGGTCTATTAGAATGGACAGAGACACTGTGATCACTGGCAGTGATGATTGGACGGCAAGGATGTGGTCTGTGTCCCGAGGGACATGTGATGCTGTCCTGGCCTGCCATGCTGGCCCGATATTAAGTGTTGAGTATTCCTCATCAGATAAAGGAATAATAACAGGTGGACACTCTTATTTCATTTTGCTATGATGCAACAAGTTTTTTAGCAATGATATTTTATCTTTAGTGCCAAAGTGTGCTAGGAAGGTAACTCTGAAATTTGGTATCTTTCTTTTCAGGTTCAAGTGATGGGCTTCTCCGATTTTGGGAAAATGACGAGGGTAAGAGCAACAATATGGTTTGATTTTCCCTACTGGTGTAGCCAATGGCATCAGTGTAACATTAACCAAGAGTCCTCCATATCCGAGATAGCTGATCATTGAGCCATATTAGCACAATTATCATGATATATTACAAGATATCTTTTAGATATTGGCAACTGTTCCATAAAAGAGCTTCCTTTTTCCTAACACAAGCTGCATTGAAAAATAGCTTTAATTTTATGGCTGCCAATGCTCCAACATTACTTTTTGGGAGTAATTTGTCTTTTCTCTCTGGTTTGATTTGCCCCATAAGTAATGCTGTAAGCATTTATTTTGTTGCACGTGCAGGAAGTATAAAATGTGTGAAGAACGTCACCATTCATTCATCTGCAATCTTATCAATCAGTGCTGGGGAACATTGGTTAGGAATTGGAGCAGCTGACAATTCTATGTCTCTTTTCCATCGACCTCAAGAGCGACTTGGTGGCTTATCTAGCTCTGGTTCAAAAATGGCTGGGTGGCAACTATACAGAACACCTCAAAGGAATCTAGCTGTGGTATGTATATTTCCTCTTATCTTTTAGAACTCCCTACTCTTCTAATCTTTTCCCTCTTTCTCTCTTGATTTTTTTATTTTTTTATTTTTTATAGAAAACAAGCGTTTTTAATCTCATATTGTAAATAATCTTTCAACTTCATCTTCATCTTCATGTCACTTCATCCTAATTAGGTCGAGAACCATAAAACTCAACATCTGTTTCACTAGTTTCGTTTATTTTGTGGCGTGCAGGTAAGATGCATAGCTTCCGATCTTGAAAGGAAAAGGATATGCAGTGGTGGGCGAAATGGAGTTCTTAGACTCTGGGAAGCCACCATCAACATCTGAGTTTCTGTGGCATTTTTGTGTGTTTATAGTTTTGAGTTTTTCGAGAGTGCTTGTGGTGATAATCAAGTCTGGTATGGTAAATATTTGTACACGAATAATCTGTAAATCATATGAAGACTAAAATTTTGAAGTTACCTTTATGTTATTGATTGATTTTTTTTTTTTTTTTAATTACTGCCGGTATACAAGGTGTTTGTAATTTTGACATGACATTGTACAAACATGAGGAGTTCTAAGAAGAAAATGTCATTTTGATTAAGAGTGTTGAAATTTATTCTATCTTCCAAGTTCTGGACCTAAATTATGTACAGTTATTTTAAATTTGACTACTAATCAGCAAAGCTTTAGTTTTTTCATGTGATAATTTTACATCCCAAATGAGAAATAATATCTAATGACTTTAGGAAGCTCAAATCTTTAAATTATTAAACTAATACACAAATATTTTCTCTTATTTAAAGAGTACGGTAATAAACATTCACTCTTTGCCTTCATCTTTTTTTTTCCCCCTTCAAAGTTCAAACCCTAATTTAAAAGTTTGAAAAAAGAGATTTTATTACGGAAAACATGTTAATTAAGAAAATTAGGGTTTATGTTAAAAAAGAATTTATTTATTTATTTGTAATTTTATTTATACTTCTTATTTTATTTATGGGTAACTTAGTAAATTTCATTTTACCCCGAAAAAAAGGAGGTGAAGAATAATTTTGTTCTTTTTAAACTATTTATTTTCAGTCACACCATTCACACGTGTAAAGCTGACTCTAGTTAAGTAATACCACATCGATTAGTTAAATGCAGCTTCACTACATTATAAACATAACGCAGCACGTGTAACTGTCACTTAGGAGAAATCCGATAAAATTGGAACGATATAGATAAGATTAGCTTGGCCCCTGCGCAAAGATGAGTCGATGACACGCACAAATCAAGAAATGGTCCCAATTTGTTTGTCTTCTCTGGGTGTTTGATGGGTTCATGACAGATGATGTTTTCTGTGTTTTTGAGCTTATGATTATATCTTATGCATGCATTTTGTAGATTTTTTTCTGGGTTTTAATGAACTTCTTTTGCATGTATCACAAATATGTCTGTCTTCATTTTTTGTTTACTTAGTTGTGTTTCTATAGTTTGCTTGAGCTTTTGGATAAATGATGTTGTCTGTTGAGTTCATTATGCAGTAACAGACTTCTGTTCTTTGTGAACCAGCTATTCTTTTTCTTTTTCTAATGTATTTAATATTTCAATTTTATAATCAGACTGACTCAACCAATTTTTCATATTCACTTTAATGAATAAAATAGTATTTCATCTGATTTTTCAGCTGTATATTTTTGTTTTAAGTACCCAAAGAGGTTTGCGTAGGTTTCAAATTTCCTTGGTCGAATCTTTATCAATTTGCTCTGTCGACCCAATCTTGGCCGAAAGAAGAAGGGATTGATGAAAGTAAAGAGTTTAAAAAAAAAAAATTCATGCTTCCCTGGTTAAGTATGAACTTGCCAAAGTAACTATTTTGTGTCCTGTTTACAGCAGATAATAATAATAATATATATATCTCACAAATTTACTTATTTGTAAACCAATTTGAAGAGTCATTGTTATTATTGATTCTTGGAACTGGCAGAGAGCCATTCTTTCCATTGGAATTTGGCCAAATGCTTGACAGTTGATTGTTATTTATATAATATTGTAGCATATATAACACATCCATGTGAACGAAAGAACCTTACATTTTCTATTAAAGTTACTAATGATTTGAGGTGGCTGCAGGAGATTTTGAACTTATTATCTCTTCCTGCTTCAGCAGGTGGAATTGGCATAATATCTGTTGGATGGAGATTCAGCTACAAGATCCATTTTTGAATGTTACACACACAGCAATCCTCAATTCGTCATTCTTTGGGTCGTAGGTGGCCTCATACTTAGCTGCTTATTCTTCTTTCTCTTCCAACCTGATTAATGCACACAGTTATAAACCCAAACCCTATTTCAGATAATAATAATATATAGACGTGACAACTAAGTATTGATATTTTTAATAAGTTTTAGATATTAATTGATATTATTATTATGAGGACTTACCAAGACAAGGATTAAAGCCTCTGGATTGAAGCTCCCTGAATTCTTGACAAAGAGCACAACATTCACAAGCAAAGTGAGTGACCCAGTCGAGAGCAGGAGACTCAGGAATGTTAAATTTTCTCCTCAGTTTACCTCGGTAAGTGGATGAGAGTTTACATGCTCCACAAGAGCAGAATAAGCACAACACCATGTAAACCATTGCACTAGTACAACATTCTTTATTTTATTTGCAATTAAGCACCGGAAAAGAAAACCATCCATGTGTTAATTTCATATTGATAATTAAGTTATATATACAAATAAAAAAAATAAAAAATTTGGAATACTTACTGATGTTGCCTTCATCCACCATTTCTGCAACCTGGCCGAACGTCACGCAAGGGAAGAAAACTGTTACCAGCGCTGAAATATTGTAATGAGTTTGAGTAAAATAAGTTCACACGTTACAAATCTATGGCGGCGATAAGACATTTACGCAGTTCAAAATGAAACCACTGAGTTTGAGAGAGAGAGAGAGTATCACCATTGCATGGATTATTGCAGCAAGCACATAGCCCACTTTTCCAAGCTTCAGCAGGCTGACCTGTTGGATTAGACTCTGGAGGATGCGGTAACTCTGTCTCTGGTAACTTTGAGTTATCATCTTCGTTTTCTGTTTGAACAGAGGGATCAAAAACTGCATCCAAATCTTCCATTAATGTCGACTCTTATTTCACCAAGTCCTCGCTTGTAGAGAGTTCACCAAGTCCTCGCTTGTAGAGAGAGCAGAGAGGTAGCTCAATATTATATAAGACCATCTTCAACCCATTGCACCAAATGGGTGCAAGTTTCACACCAAATTGGTGTGATATTCGGTATGAAACATTATTGCATCTCTAATCCATTGTACGAAGTATTACACTAAAAAGAATATTCTTTCAAATATTCTCTTTCTTTTTCTTTTATTGTAATAATCAACAATTAATCTATTTCACTCATTATTTTTGTATATACTAATTAAATATTGGGAATGATATTTTTATTAAATAATAATTACTTTGAAAATTATGCTAATTTAATCAAATAAACATTACATTTAATATAGAAAAACATTACATGTAAAACCAACCTCCAGTCAGGTATCCTCTGAATATCCCTCAATGAGAATCCCGGGGATATATGTCTGGAGAACGAGTTGTATTTAGAAAAAAAATCTATGTAAGAATAATAATAATAATATCGAAAACATGCATATAAAATGTCATGCAGGATCCAAACTTATAATTTAGAAACTTTAAGAATTTATCCTGAAATTACACAATCAAAACATATTTATAGGGTGAAAGCTTCCAAAGGTGTTTCACAAACATTTATCATTTACATTATTTACATCAAGATGACAATAAATCATCTCCCTTCACGTGTAGCCCCGCTGTCTCTAGCATCCTTCGCTTATGGTCTACCTGCAAAGCAATCAACAATGAAAGGGTGAGCGCTAATCGCTCAGTAAGGAATGATCCATTGCATTCTAAATGGGCTATTTAACCCTCATTTAAACATATTTGTTAACACACCACTTATCTTTTACATCTAGGGATACTTTCCCTTTTTTTTTTCCTTTCTATTTTATATATCTTTTATCATTTTATCTCATGGCTATATAAACATCAATGCATAGACATACAAATAAGTATGTAAACATAGTACACACACATTACATGTCATGATATAACATCTAAATATCATCTAACATGAGTATAAATCATCTCATGATGTAAATAATATCATAACTCATGTAGTGCAACTAAATGCATACTAAGCATTTAACGTGTAGCCGATCAGACTTTTCTTAGCGTCTTAAACACTTCATATCATCTAGCCTCAAATTCATCTAGAGCTCATATCATCGAGAGGCATGCTTACATGTTATTTAGCATCTAAAGCATATATTCATCTTTCCTCAACCGGTATACGAGGATATGCTTACGCATTTCCCATCATGTCTATATGCATCTCTATCATGTCTATATGCATCTCTATCATCTTATGGCATGTAAATACATATTTTGGTGAGCTTAATACTTTTAATTCATCTATGAATTATCAATCCATTTACATTACCTCTTGCTTACATATATCATCTTAAAACATGTATTACATTGCATTTTCATACCATTTCAAAACATTAATCATGCATTGATATCATGACCATGTATATCTTTCAAAGACCATCTAACTAATGGGTAAACATTAATACATGGCATAATTACAATAATACATTAATAATCAATTCATAATCATAAGAATTGATCATGTTAAATCTTAAACTTTAATAACCAGTTTATACTTTAGGCCATTTTCCATCAATTTCTCAAATGAATTGGCTCTTGGCATAAACATAAAAGTTATAGGGTCGTGTCTTAAATTTCTAATGCTTCAAGAATCATCTCATTTTGATTTTTATAACTCAAGTTATGGTCGAAATACTGAAGCATGTTTAACATAACCCCTAAGCTTACTAAATCCGAATTTTTCATATTAACTATGCCACATCAATTCCTATTGACAATTAACCAATAGGTCAACTTATAGATCAAATAAATCTCCCCTTAATCGTCTTTAACATCTTAAAGGAAGTGTAAAATCTTATTCTCATAATCATCCATTATTGTTATAACATTGTAAGCCAATGCAAACAACACCTCGACACTTCTAATAACAACCATTCAACACCATGTGGCTTCCAATACTACAAGTTTTGCCACAATCAGCATTCACACTTCATTTTCTTCAATCAAACATAACAACTCATAAAACATAAATAGCAATAACTTCATGTATAATGAATTCAAGGCAATAAGTAGAATAAATGAGTTTAACTACACTTGCCATCAATTAATTCTATGCCTTAAAGCCTTAATTTAAGGTTTCATAAAAATCTACAAACCCTAGCATAAACCCTAAAGTCATGGGAGGTTCTTCCTTACCTTTTTAAAGACTTCCTCCAACAAATCCTTTGCCTTTGACTTCTTTTACACCTTAATCCTACATATATAACATTATACCTCAACATCTACCTCAAATCTTCAAATCACATCAAAACTAAAGTTTTTAATCCTTACCTTAAACCCTTCAAATTGAAGATCCAAGGCTTCTATCTTTTTCTCCTTTAAAAATTATGCAAAACTCCTTTATAATTTAGAGAAAGTAAGCTTGTTTCATGGAAGATTTGAGAGAAAATGGAAGAAATGTTGAAGAAATGCTCTCTCCCTTGGTTTGAACGAATTTCATCTCATTTATATGAAAATATTTCATTAATTTTCCAAAATTATGCTATTGGCTCAATTATTTTAATTGTATAACTTAGAAGTACTTAATTCAGGGCATTTTGGTCATTTTACACTAGACATAATTATTACTTAATTAATGCTATTAAATGCAATTAAGCCTACTCATCCTTGACTTTTTCAATGATTATCCATAGGCAAAATAACTATTTTGTCCCTAATACCTTTTATGGATAATTGATTCATACCGTTCCAAATGAATCGACTATTTTGCTCTTAGTTAGATTTTATGTTTTTTAACATAAAATTAACATCTAAAGGACTATTTTGAGTTAGAAACATACTTTTGACATCTTGGATATTACATTATATCTAATATAAAATGATACGAAAAAAAAAAAAAAAGACAACAACACAAAAGTAAAATTCCATATTGATAGTAATTTAATTTTCTAAATTAGTATATTCTTCCCACAAATGATCAATTAATGCATTTCGGAGAGTAATAAAATGATATTTTGATGATCTTAGAGGATCCGAAACTAATCTATCGGAATACTAAATTGTTATTTTAGTTTATGTTGTATTTTCTTTTAATTTTAGTGTTTTTAAATTAGTGTTTATTTTTATTTTGAGTTATTGTAGTTTAATATTTGCATTGAATAAAGTTTTGTTTTAATTTTTAATTTTTTTAATTATATAATTATTATAAATAATAATCTAATTAACTTAAATAAAAAAAAAAAAATTTAAATAACAAAAATAAAAATAAAATTTTTTTTTCTACTGTTTGAATAGTGCCACACCAAATTGGTGTGCATGAACAATGTTACACCAAATTTAACGTGGTACTGTACATTGGCACCAAATTGGTGCAAAAATTGGCGTTGGGTTGGAAATACCCTAAAGATAGCTAGTTGTATTGACCATTGATACAAAAGTTCAGAGACAAAAGCTGAAATTGGGACCTCAAGGTGACAAATGCATCAATTACATACATACAGGCCGTGTGAGCTTGAACAGTATATATATATATAGAGAGAGAGAGAGAGAGAGAGAGAGAGAGAGAGAGAGAGAGAGCACTCGTCAAACAAACAAATAAGTAGGATAAGGCCCCTCGTTTCCTTAAAATCAAATAGGATGAAAAGATGAAAGCTCGTTACTCTTTTTGCAAGAAAGGCGCACTCCAAGTAGGTGGGTATCGACTGACACTACGACTTAATCAACTGGATCCACCGAAAGCAATTTCCTCTAGGATGAGGCTCTCGTTTTGAGAGATCTATCAGACATCTCTAACCCAATGCCATTTTGGTGTAAAAACACTAAAATGGCGTGAAAAATGACCTTCAACCTAGCGTCAAACATTGCACCAATTTGGTGTCAATGTATAATGCCACACCAAATTTGGTGTAGCACTGTTCATGCACACCAATTTGGTGTGGCACTGTTCAAACACTATAAATTTTTATTTTTATTTTTATTTTTGTTATTTGTATTTATGTCAATTTGATTATTATTTATATTAATATTTATAATTATAAATTCATAATAATTATATAATTCAAAAAATGATGAAAAAATTAAAACAAAACTTTATTTAATGCAAATATTAAACTATAATAACTCAAAATAAAAATTAACCAAGCTCACCATGCTCTTTGAAATGCATTAATTGATCATTTGTAGAAAGAATATACTAATTCAGAAAATTAAATTACTATCAATATGAAATTTTACTTTTGTGTTGATTTTTTTTTTTTTTTTTTTGGTATCATTTTATATTAGATGTAATATTTTTTCTATATTAAATGTAATGTTTATTTGATTAAATAAATGCTTAATTTTATTAAATTAGTATAATTTTCAAAGTAATTATTATTTAATAAAAATATCATTCCCAATATTTAATTAATATAAAAAAAATAATGAGTGAAATAGATTAATTGTTGATTATTACATAGAAAGAAAAAGAAAGAGAATATTCTAAGGAATATTCTTTTTGGTGTAATATTTGGTGCAATGGGTTGGAGATGCAATAGTGTTTCACACAAAAAATCACAACAATTTGGTGTGAAACTTGCACCAATTTAGTGTTTGTGGTTGGAGATGGTCTTAGTGATTGAGCCACCCTTCCTAGCAAAGAAAGAAAGGCAGGTTCAGGCGATTAATCGCTAAAATCTTTCCTTCCCTTTCTTTATGACAGAGCAATTAAATGATGCGGTGCGGTTGCAAGGCCTCTAATTATGAAGAAGCTATTCATTATCCGTCCTTACTGAAGAAAATACCTTTGGCATGATGGTAGTAGAGTAGTTGATCTGATCCCGTGTGCGAGCAGATAGAAATGCCTATACATGAGGTAGGCGAGGGTAGTTTGTCGGCAAAAGGCGTGTATGGTAGTCTTCTGTTTGATGAGAACAGGAAGGGCAATT